GTATCGGACACGAGTCAGGTCATGAATATCTTGGTGTTGGGAAGATGGAGAACAAATACAGAAGCACTTGGGGGCAGGGGGGAGGAAAACACTTCTTAAGGTACTGGTTTATGACTGAAAGCTGGACAGTAAACCAATGTTCTCTGTGTACAGGTAGAAAAATGTCAATATGTTGATATGCAAATGGAGGAAAGAAACTTGGAATGAAGCTGATACAACCTCAGAGCCCCCAGATCTTCTGAGTAAATATGGCAGTTAAAAAAAACCAACACATTCCCATCAGACTAGAAAAGCAGTGTGAACTAAGATTCACTGAAGCTTTAACACGAGGAGGGAAATAGACACATTGGGAGGATAGTGTGTCTAACATAACAGTGGAATGACCTGTATTACTGCCAGAACTCAGCAGTGACGATTGGGAATAGTAGACTTTTGTTGTTGTCATTCAGGGTTCATTATCAGAAAGAGTGAAATACTGTTCTTAAGTAGTCAGATACCAGGTGCAAATGTTTTCTCGTGTGTATATATATGCGTGTGTGTGTGTATTTGTAGTGCTTAGCTGCTATTTTGTTTGCTTTTTCAGAGATTGTCTTTTTCTTGACATAGAGAACAGAATGGAGTTTCCATGGGAACAAATGCTCTTGTTTGGCTCAGTTAAATGAAAGAGTTAAAAAGGAAAAAAAAAAATTTCTGTGGAAATTGACTGTGAAATAGCAGAGCAACATGAAGGCCAGCGCTTTGTGCAAGCAGTCTTGGGATGAGTTTCAATCTTGAGATGAGTTTCATTTAGATCTGTTAGGAAGGGAAGTTAGGGTAGTGTAAGAAAGCCATAGGATGTAAATAGAGCTGCCTTGTTCCATTGTTGGTAAATAAATGATCAGCAGAGCAAGTGCTGTTGATCTCTTACTTTCCAGTCATGCTGCTCTTTGGCAGCAAAAGTCTTAGCTTTCAAACCTGCTGTGTATACGTTATTGAAAGTATGAAGTTCTTAGTGCTTGTTGCTGCCTACTTCATGGTATGGGGCGAGTCAACAAAGTAGGCTTGTCTACCTCAGTGCATGTGGAAGGTGGAAGCTGACTTTAGTGAAAGCAGGCATTGGCTTAGGAGTCTGCATTACACTGCTCCAAAGATGGAGGGAACCCCAAATTTTAAAGGCTTTCCTGTAACACTTTGATGCTTTTTATCACTGCATGCATTGCAGAGTAGATCTTCTGGCTTCCCCTCCAGTTACTTGCGTTCTTGTTCTTTATTCAACAAGTCTTTGGAGCTTGGTGCCAAAGCAATCATATCAAGCTTTTCTGAACTATATGGGGCGTATATAGCCTTAATTTTTTTCTCTGATGAATGGGGTGTCTGAATGTTAAAGACTTGTTCAACAAACTATTCTCATCAACTGTATTTGTCTTGGCAGCCCTTTTAAAGGTTAACTTATGCTAAAACAAGAGTATGCCACATCAAGTTCAGTACTCTGAAGTTAAATGCTCCAAAGGGATGTGTGAATGCTGAATAACCAGTCATCTCCATAGAGCATGCATGTGACCTGGCACTGATTCAGGAGCTGCTGCCATCTCTATTCAGAGCCTTGAGCAGATTGTTTGAGAATTCTCCTTTCAGTCCAGCTTATAAAGGACTTACTTGAAATTTGTGTGGGTCATGTATTTGATTTATATTTGATGATATGAGAAACACATTAATCAATATGATGGCTTTTTATTTAAACATTTTTGTGCTTAAGTTGAGCCAACTCAGTATTCTGTGGACTTACTTTCTGCTCTTGAGAATAATAAGTATTGAGAATTGGATTACTGTACTTTAGTTCCTCCTTGTGACATTACTTGTGATACAGATCTTAGGTCTTCTGCATTATTTCCTTCTTTTGGAAAACAAATTATGGAAGCTCATGAAACCAAGCTCTAGTGAAAATGCTGATGTAAAGACCTGGCATTACCTCCCTTGCTGTTAAGAGCATGCTGAAGGAAGCACTAAGCATCACTTGACTGGTGTGGAGGAAAGGAAGGTATTTGAATTATTTTTTCTGTAAACTAAGAGGGCATCATTGCTGTTTTCATTGTGCTGCAATCAACTGGGCAATTGTAGTGGTTCAAAAATAATGTGAAAATGTAATATGGAGGGGGGGGATTCAGAAATTGTCTTTTAGCTTTTAAAACTGATCTGAATATAAAAGTTCCAGAAGGCACTGTTGTTTTCAGTTTTTATTTCCACTGAAGATTAGTTGTGCAAATGATTCTGTGGAAGAGACAGCAATAATTGCAAAGGGCATGGACACTTTATTGGCTAGATGCTCACTTCTCAAGTACAGAGAAGTGGGTCTTCAGAGAGAGGGAGAGAGACGTGGGTCTTCAGTTTCTGCTTCATGATTGTAGTGCACTTTGCAGATGGAGGGATCCACTCTGTTCCCAAACTTTCATACCTTTTCCACAGAAACACCTGTTCTACAACCTTTGGAAGCAAAACCTAAGGACCAGTGTTGTTGTGGCTGGTACCTATCTGTAGAACCACGTGTGAGAAGGTGTAAGTGAGGACTTCAGACAAGGCTGCTTTAATCTGAGAAGCCTGATGAAAAATGTGAACTTCCAGTTACAAAGCAGTGTTCTCTTTAGGAAAAACACTCTCTGTGCTCATCGATTTCTGAGGCTGTATGTGCTGGACTTGTCCTGCATAGTACTGAAAGGGCAGAGTTTCTCCTAATGTGAATGCTTCTCAAAGGAGGGATGGGAAGCTAACATCTGTAGTTTTGTAATGCTTGATTTCTGTCTCTGTTCAAAGATATTTAAATGCATATGCTCATGCAGTTAGCAGGAGTCTCAAGTCTGCCTGTATGAACCATATTTTTCTTAGAGAAGATGGAAGCTGCTTCAATTTTCATCATAGAGGAGGACAAAGAGGCTCACATTGGTTCTGCTTTCACTTTTGTTGATATTTTCTGTGCCTGATGCCAGCTGCAGCCATTTTTCTCTGCCACCTCACATAATACCATATTTCTAACAAGCGTTTTAGTCCTTAGAGGTGGGAGATGACATCGCTGGCCTGTCATTCACATGCTTCATTGCTAGGCAACAGTTAATGTAATTCCATTGCTCTGTGACACTACTTTGAATCTTTGTCTATAGGAATTGTATATCTTTGTTTTGCCACGCTGCACCTAACATGGCAGGATTTCTGCACTTGGATTAGCACTTGGTGTTTTGTGTGAAGGAGCGAGTGTCCTACAGCTTGTTCTCCTCAGCTTTTGTTGTCTGGAGGTGATACCTCACTGTTGGCCTTTGACTGTTAATTTTCACTTTCGTGACTGTTGTATCTACATCGTACTTTCTACTGGATGACTGAGCTTCTGGATGCTTTAAATTCTTGTGGGGTACACACTTACCTTTACTGCAGAAATAAAGGCAGAGAGGTGGAATCAGAGTTCAGATCCACGCAGAACAGGGGGGTACTTTTGAGCTGGCTGTTAATGCTTTTTTTTTTTTTTTTTTTTTTTTTTTAAGCTAGTGTTTCTATAACCAAGTGCTGCGGAGGGCATTTGGAATGGGAGACTTCATCCTAGCAGTGCTTATCCAGTGTTGTTTCTATGGAAAATAGTTGCAGTAATATTGCAGAACTAAGTGTAGATAGTAGCAAAGTGTGCTGAAATAATAGGCACCAGTTTTCTAAATCCTGTTCTGTGTGCCATACTGAACAGGCTGCCTAAGGAGGCTGCTGAATCTCTACCCTTAGAGTTTCAAGAATGGACAAACTGCTGAGCAGCCTGGTCTGAATTCCTTGTTGATCCAACCTTCAACAGAAAATTGGACTAAATGATCACCTGAGGTCCCTCCTGGCCTGAAGTATTCATTGGCGCTGCTATTGCCTGACCCAGTCTCATAGTGCTTCAGTTGCTGGCACTAGCTGTTGGCATTCTGTCTGCCCTCTTATTTCACAGTGCAGGGGGAGGAGTGGTAACAGCCTCTGAGTGAGAAGGGAGGGCAGGAATGGGGCCGGCTGCAGCATTCCTCCTTGGGTCCTGTTGAGTGAACTTCTGTGCCTGAGATGTGGATTGGAAGGGGTTTCACAAACCTTCACTGCGAAATGAAATTCCTCAAATCATGCCTTAGTCTTTGCACCTTCTGAATGGATTGTTTTAGTGTAGCCTTGCAAAGCAATGTAATTCATATGCACTGTGACACCAGGGGAGTATCATGAAACATTCGAATGATGCTGAATGTCATTGCAAATCAGTTGAATATAATTGCTTCATTTTAAGTTTGAATGCAGTGGTTTTATTCTGTAGTGAGTGTGGTGCTATTTGATTCAGGCCATATATTGTTAGATGGCGGTAACTTGAAGTGATTTGTTTTCTAAGAAAAGAGCAACTTAATACAGTGACCCTTAGGAAAATGGCTCTTTTCCTGTATCTTTCAACAGTTGGTGCTTCAGACTTCAAAAAAGCTGCTGTCTCTAGGAGAAGTTAGTTCACAAGACGTGTGTGCATTCTGTTCTGACCTCAAATCATGGGTAGTCAGACAGCAAAATGAAGAAAATAGTTAATTGATGGTAGTTAAAAACCACATACTTATTCTGAATAGCAGTTCAATTGCTAATAAACTGGCTCTGAAAGTGGTCTGAAATCCATTTATCAGGAGTATGCAGTTTGTGAATGTAGAAAGCGAAGCAGCACAGGAGGGAATGTGTCTGAGAAGGAAGCAAGTTCTTGGTGTTCATAGTATGGTTACCCTCACTTCTTAACTGCGTTCCTTAGGAGACTATTAAGCATAGTCAGAACTAGAACCATCTAGATTAAGTGTAATTGGGAAGCGAAGCGAGCCTCTGAGATATTCCAGACAAACGTACACTGTGATCTAACAAAGATGAGGCAAATAATAAAAATAGGTATTTCTGAAGGGCACTGCTTTGTAGTGCTTGATGACAATAATTGTTACACAGTGGTCTCGCAGATGGGAGTTTGGTGTTCAAAGAAGCTGAAATGTTACTGTCTCTTGTAGGCAGCAGCAGGCATACTGTGCTACGTGGGAGCCTATGTGTTCATCACATATGACGACTATGATCACTTCTTTGAAGATGTCTACACGCTCATTCCAGCAGTTATTATCATAGCTGTGGGAACGCTGCTTTTTATTATTGGGCTGATTGGATGCTGTGCCACAATTCGCGAAAGCCGCTGTGGACTCGCTACGGTAAGTTGCAGAGCTGCTGTGTGGTGGTGCTCCCTTGCTGTGTATCTGGCCTTTGTCCTTTTAATAGATTTTCAAAATGCATGTTTTTTGAATATTTCCTCTTATCTTGCCTTATAGCCTGAAATCTTGTTAGTTTTGTTCCTAACATCCTATGTTGGATTTCTGTTCTAAATAACGGTGTTAGTTTGCCTGTTCAGGCAGCAGCAGAGTCTTTGTGTTTCACATTTTAGAGCTGTGATCTTTCTTTTTTTTTTTTTTTTAATCACCTCCTTACAATTAAGTGAGAACAAGTTAAATCTGTGTTATGTTTTCTGATTGAAAAGCTGGAATGGGATAGGAAGAAAGGTGAGACAGGTGCCTTCTTGTGTTAAGCATACAGCATTGAGGCTGACTGGGAATGATTGTGATGCTTAAGTGTTCTTTGTATGGCTTAATTTGGACACTTAGTTTCCAGGAATTTATCTTTTTAAGTGTTTTAAATATAACTCTAGCTTGAGAATTAGGTAGGATTTAAGTTAGGCCAGTATTCAAATCATCCCCACTTTGCTGCTGTTGGATGCTGCGTGGACTTAATTGAATGCTGAAAAGTCCTCTCAAGTATGCTAATACAAATGCATAGATTGTTACTGTTTTTGTTTCAAGACTTGAACTGAAAAAACATTCCCTTAGTCTCTCTACCAGTTTTAGGAATAGCCTGGGTAGCTTCTTTGTTGTGTGGCTGTAATATTTACCTAATAAAAGGGTGTTTCATTAAAACACTTCAGTGTGGCTTTTCAGTCCAAATGATCAGCAGTTACCTGACTGGGTGGTTCTAATTCTCATTACCTGGTACAACTATAAGCTCTAAAACTTGAGTCACCTCAGGACTCGCTTGATCAACTTACTTGCCTGCTTTAGGTAATTTGCGAAGTTGAAACCTGAGGAATAATTTCATAATAAATCAGAGCCTGTTCTAAGACTTTCAGATGGTCAATTGTGGAAATGTTTGTGCAAATTCTCTGAACTGTGTTTTACAGTTTGTGATCATCCTGCTCCTGGTTTTCATTACCGAGGTTGTGGTGGTGGTTCTTGGATACATCTACAGAGCAAAGGTAATAGCCTTTAAATTTCAGTAAATATTTTACTGTGAACTGTGATCAAAATACTGGGATGTAGGATTTGCTGTAATTGGTTCTGTAAAACTGTTAGTGGATATTCATTCATTGTGCTAATTGGAGATTGATATCTTAAAATTTAGAACAGCGGTGTCTCAAACTTACTGATAACAGCTTAACATTATCAATTACCTCAGTGTACATCATATTTCTGGTATCTTTGGCAGTGCACTGAAAGGTCAGTTGATCAGGTGGGACTCTAGCTTGTAGTGCAAGTGGTCCCTAGAAGCAATTGAGGAAAGCTGTGTACTTCCCGAGAATGGGAAACCTGTTGGATTCATATGCAGTAAATTGAACAGTTGCTTTTTGCTCAGATTTATGCAGAAACGTAGCATATAACATTGTGGTCTTTCAGAAATTACCATGTATCTGGTCTAGGCTAAGCTGCAGTCATTCTAAGTTCCAGTGTAAAAGTGGTTTGCTGCTCTCTGGTTAACAGCATTCAGGACAGATAAAAGATGCATGCATCTGTCTTCTGTAGCCTGTCTGAAATTACACACTTGAGTGTGCCTAGCTGACTTGCAGGAGTCAGTATTTGAAAACTAAATTTTGAATCTTTTCAAAGGGCAGACAAAGTTACTGTTAGTAAGAAGTGGCTGTTCTCTACTACCCTTTGGTATTTACTGTTTTAAACTTGTTCTCAGGGGCAGGAGGAGTGTCATACCTATTATAAGTGAAATTGGGAGGTGAAAACTGCCTAGATTTGATTGTTTTTTATTACTTTTTTCCAATTAATTACTGTTCAGACATGCAGAGATGGGATCAGGAAAGCCAAGGCAGAGATGGGATCAGGAAAGCCAAGGCAGAGATGGAACTGAGCTTGGCGAGGGATGCAAAAAATGACAAGAAGGGTGTCTTTAGATACGTGAGTCAGAAGAGACAGACAAAGCAGAAGGTACACCGTCTGGTAAATGAGAAGGGAGAACTGGCTTCATCAGACATGTAGAAGGCTGAGGTACTCAGCGTATCCTTTGCCTCAGTCTTCACTAGCAGTCAGGCTTCCCATGCTACTCATGTCTCTGGAACCTGTAGGTAGGGATCAGGGGACTGAAATCCTTCCCAGTGTAAGAGCAGAGCAAGTCTGAGAGGATCATGCAAGTCATGAGGCTGAATGTGCACAAGTCTGTGGTGCCAGATGACATGCATTTCAGGGTTCTGAAGGAGCTGGCTGGTTTGGTTACCAGGCCACTCTCCATCAGGCTAGAAAAGCTGCAGGCAAAGTCCCTGATGATTGGAACAAGGGGGACATAACTCCCATTTTTAAGAAAGGAAGGTATTAAGGCACATGTGAGATAAGGAGGCTGTGGTAGCCAGCATGGCTTCACTGAGATTGTGCCCAACCAGTCTAGTGGCCCTCTGTGGAGGAATGACAGTGTCAGTGGATGAAGGAAGGGCAACTGATGTTGTCTGCTTAGACTTGTGCAAAGTATTTGACGTGTTCCTGCATCACTTCCTTATCTCTAGATTGGAGAAATACGGGTTTTAAGGCTGGACTTTTTGTTGGATAAAGAGTTAATTGAATGGTTGCAGCCAGAGGGTTGTGATCAGTGGCTCTGTGTCCGTGTGGAGGCTAGTCACAAGTGATATTCCCTAGGGGTCTGTAGTACTTGTGCTCTTCAGCATCTTCATCTATACATAGTGGGATCAAATGCACACTCAGGAAGTTTGCTGATGATGCTGAGCAGTGCATTTGACACAACAGGAGGATGGGATGCCATCCAGTGGGCCCATGTGAATATGTTCAACAGTGCCTAGTACAGGGTGTTACACTTGAGTCATTCCAGTCATGGATATGAGTACAGACTGGGAGAAGAATTCCTTGAGAGCAGATCTGCTGAGAAGGATTTGAGGGTTCCAGGAGGCGTAAAGCATGAGCCAGCAGTGTGCTCCTGCAGCCCAGAAGGCCAGCAGTGCCTTGGGCTGCATCACAAAATGAGTGGCCAGCAGAGCAAGGGAGTGGTTTGTTTTCCTGTGCTCTACCTTCATCTGGAGGCCCCATCTGGAGTGCTGTGTGCAGGCCTGGGGCCTGCGGCACAAATGCGATGTGGAGCTGTTAGAGTGGGTCCGGAAGAGGCTGGGGTACCTCTCCTGTGAAGAAAGGCTGGGGGAGCTGAGGCTGTTTAGCCTGGAGAAGGCTCTGGGGAGACCTCAGTGTGTCCTTCCGATACTTGAGGGGGAGTTCAAGCAGGAGGGAGACCAATTTTTTACACAACTAGTGATAAGAGGGAATGGCTTTAAACCATTTTAGGAAAATGGTTTAAGGAAAAGGAAAGGACATTTAAGTTAGATGTTTGGAAGAAATTTTTTATTCAGAGGGTGGTGAGGTGATGGAACAGGTTGCCCAGAGAGAAATTCAGGGCCAGGTTGGATGGGGCTCTGGGCAGCCTGGTCTCCTGGTTGGTAATCCTGTCCATGGCAGGGGAATTGGAACTTGATGATCTGTAAGGTTGTTTGTTTTGTTTTTTTTTTTTTATATAGTTTTGTGCTTTGTTTTTCACACACACTGCCCTAACTGAAGAAGTCAAACAACATATGAGTATTTATTGAAAATTGTTTTAGTCTATATAACAAAATGAGGATGTGTTTAATTTAACTAATGCAGTTTAGAACACCGATTCATACAGGAAAACAACTGATTTCAAACTAGTCTGAAACAAGTTGCCTGTGTAAGTTAAACTGTATTTAGTTTATATCTGTCTTAACACAGACCTACTTGTGAAAATAACCAGTATTCTTGGAAGGGGACAATAAGCTTGTGCAATTGCTGCAGAAAATCCTTCACGTAAAGCAGTTAAACAACCTGAATCTTTCTGCATGGTGTGTTTGCAAGATATTCCTGCAATAATTTGCAATTTTACAGAGTATGCTTGCTTCATGTTCAGTCCTGAAATTAAAATTCCTTGTGCATAATTCCTTCTGAAAGTGGTTATCCTGAACTGATTTCTTTTATTAAACTTACTTCAGTACCAAAGTTGAAAAAGACCAAACTTTCTGTTCTTTTACATAACAATTTATAGAATTGTACTACTCAAAGATTCTGGCAAGACTTCCTACAGAGTGAATGTTGGACATCTTTTGCAGGACAAGTAATGATTCTTGAGTGGCATCCATTTTTAACACAAGTACTGAACAGCATCTTTAGCAGCTTGACTCATCTGCAGTAGCTTAAGCTATTCCAGTAGCTGTTGCCATGTACCTTGTACAGCCATCAACATTTCTCAGAAAGCATGGGGGAGGTGGATTTTATAGAAAGTTTGATTGCTGTAGGGTAGAATAGTCAATCAAAATACCTCATCTTTGGTACTTTACCCACTCTGGTCAGAACGGGTGTATAATCAAAAAGTGTGCGGAGGTGTAAAATCAATTGGTGTACACAGGTTAGGTTAAGGATTATCAGGTGGAAAGATAATAAATGAAAAATGCTCACTGATGTTGTAGGCTCTCAATAAAGTTCATGAGGAGCAATCTCCAGGTAGAGATCCTTCCTCAGTGGCGGTCAGCACTTGAATGGGATCTAGGAGAGGTGCAGCCAGGCTCCATCCTTCCGGTAGCACTGGTGAATTGCCTTCACCTGTGTTCCTGGGGCTGCCTCTTGCTTGCCTCAGATGGTCAATCAGAGGTTCAGGCTGTGATTCAGCAGTTCCCATGGCTTAGTGTTATCCTGGTGGTCCCAAACAAAATGAGTTAGTCTGAATGGCTCTACTGATTTTTGCTTTTGCTTTGGAACTTTTGAAAGTGAGTAGAAAGTGGAAAGGTGCATACTTGCTCTCTTGGAGAGTTCTTAATTTCATGATATTGTGTCTGATACTGTGAGTTGTGCTACGGTGTTACAGTAAAGGCAGTTTCTTTTCTGAGATGGGTCTCTAAGCTTCTTTGTCTAACATCTTACTGAACGTAGCTTCTTGTTTTCTCTTGGCCATTAGCTTTAGGTTAGTAATGTTAGTTAGTTAGTTGCCAAAGACAGGTCAGAATTTTAATAAGCTGTACCATCAAAGTATGCTTGATATGTTAGGGAATTATTGTGGTTTTCTCACTTTTATACTTAAAAGTGAACTTATTTTCCTAGAGTTGTACTACTTCCATTGGTGTGCTAATGCTTTGCTTATGCTTCACAGGTGGAAGATGAAGTTGATCATAGCATTCAGAAGGTATACAACGGATACAATGGGACAAATCCTGATGCAGCCAGTCGTGCTATTGACTATGTACAGAGGCAGGTGAGATGGCCAGATGTGTGAAATATTAAATGATTTTGGGCTGTATGCCATTTAACTATCCATTCCATCTATGATTTGCTTAGATAACACTGTCATATAGTTTGTGTTACTTAAGTAACAAAACAACCTAACCTTATCATGTTTGTGCTTTTGGTATTACAGCTAAGACTTCTGTCTCGTTCAGTTTAATGAGTGGTTAACACGTAGCTCTTCACCTGTGTGTTTTTCAGCTGCGCTGTTGTGGGATCCATAACTACACAGACTGGGAGAATACTGTCTGGTTTAAACAAACTAAGAACAACAGTGTGCCACTTAGCTGTTGCAAAGCAACTCTCAGCAATTGTACTGGCAGTTTGACCCGTCCAATGGACCTTTATTCTGAGGTAAGACAGCTCAGGTATGAGCCTAGGGATGAGCTTTTGGTGACAATCATTTAATTTTCTTTTTGGTATAAATATCAAATCGAGCATGAAAGTTAATATCAAAGTAAACATGGCTTCTAAAGAAAAACTTTTCTCTTTTTTTTGTTCTTTCTGCCTTATTTGATGTTTTTTGGGGATTTTTTGGTGTGGTTGCCAGAGGGATATATAACAAGCCTTTTTGTTTCAGGGCTGTGAGGCTCTGGTTGTAAAGAAGCTTCAAGAGATAATGATGTATGTCATCTGGGCAGCACTAGCATTTGCTGCTATTCAGGTAAGAGAATGTTCTTTGTCTGTAAACTCAAATGGTGTTCTAAACTGCTGTCCGGGCCATTAGAGTATGTGCAGGATGCTGACAACTTTAGTTTGTACTTGGATTGAGAGAGAAATGAACCACAGTCAAAATGATGAAAATACCTCAAGACAAAACTTCTTAATTAAGTGTGGTCTAAAATCTGCTGCAAACAGGAATGTGTGTTCTGTTAGATTTCAGAATAGCTGAAAAGTCTGTTACGTGCAATAATCAACTAGAATGTAGGTGATAAATTACTCTTGAAACTAATTATCTTAAGCATCAGGTATCTATCTCTATGAATGTGCTCTGAAGGCATTTGAGACTGGAAATAAAAATTTGCATATTTAATTTACAGCTTTGAAACAGATGGCTCATACTTCATGCCATTTTAGAGATACAGCAGTGTATGCTTCATGGCATGCATATGATGTTGAGGCCGCCCACAAAACGCAGCAAGGTTTCTGATAGCATTATCTGCTCTTGTTCTGTAGAATTCTGCGTTTTCTTGTCCTGATTGCTGGACTTGAACCAAAAAAGGGGTTCTAATGCAGAGACCAGGTTGAGTGCAGGCTGTCTTCCACAGGAATTCTAATGGGTGTATTTTCCATGGTCGTTGAAAGTAACTGGGGAAACAGTATCTCAGTATTTACTAAGATTAAAAAAAAAAACACAGGAAAGCCACAGAACTGTTTGTCTTTTAAACATTCCTGTAAAATTGATCAATCAGGCAGGCTTAGTGCATTAATCCATTTCAGTTTGTGGCAATTTTATGGTCTATGAGAAATGTACTACGTATGCTGAATCCCAAGAGATTTGAAAACTACTTTTCAATTACTTTTGTACTCTTTAAATATCATTTGAATATGGAAAACATTATTTCTGCTGAATTGGGAAGCTTAAGCACTTCCATTTTTCAGAACCAGCTTTTGAGCTGGGTTGTGTGTTTTGAAGGTGAGCAAATCATCTTTTGAAAACACTTTGAGAGAATAATTCTATTTCTATTTCTGTTCTAGTAGGCTGTACTCACAGGTAGCAGTGTATTCAGTACTGCTGTTGAACTGTCCAGGACCAGATTACTACAGTAAAATTTGAGTTCAGTGCTCAGTGTGCTGAAGAAAGATATTTTTAATTGCTGTTCTTAATTTTTACCTCCTAAAGCAATATTTAGTCAGCTCAAATACTGAAATACATTTCTGTAATTAAAATGTAGATATTTCCACAACGATAGTTAACCTGGCAGATTTTTATGTTGTAGAAAACGAGACTGGGTGAGCTGAATAGAGAGGAGGCATTCAGAATGTTGGAGTTTGCAGGTTGATTAACAGGTCCACTCCGATGTGCTGTTATAACTCCTATAATTCCTCTCTGTTGGGATTGGGCCAGAGTTCCTACCACACACTTGAAATGCAAATGCGACTACTTGCATCCTTCTGTTCTTCCTGGCTAATCCATTCTCTGCAAGCATGTTGGTTGTATTCCTTTTGCAGTGGATGCTTTAGTTTGTCTCCCTATCAGTAACCAAGCAATTGGCAGAAAGTACATATCTAAACAGCTTGAAAGAAAATAAGAACATCTGACAAATTTCTTTGCTGGTGCTGTAGTAATGCTGTGTGTCACAATCTGTGACACCTGTTTAGAAAAGTTAATAAAAAATAAATCTACGTAGGTTGTTCTGAAAGTAACGTCTCCCATCTCATTAATGTCTCACTGAAACTGCGGCAGATACAAAGAGCACAATAACACTGTTTGGTAGAGCAAATTCTCAGCTACAAAACAGTGTTTTTCAACACTGTCTACCATTTGTCCAGCTACCATTTGCTATGTGTTTTTGCCAGTGATGAACAGTAAGTAGCCTGCGTGCTGTGCTTGTGAAAACTCGCACCAGTGGATGTGACCCAGTGTTGTTAATGACAACAACATGGAACAGAATATTGGTGGGCATGTTCACCCTCTACTGCCTTTCCATCATCATCTGCCTTTGGGCCAGCATAATAAAACAGGGCACATTACTTTCTGGACAGCCTGAATGCAGGCTGTTGGGAATACCTTTGAAGTCTAATAGTATTCACTGTGTGGTTATCACACTTAAATCTGCCAGAGGTCAGATTTTCATATATTTTTTTTCTACAGTTCAAATTTTGACGAGTTGGCATGATTGGAACTTAAATCTTTTGGAAACAAGTTAGTACTAAAGCACGTTGAAACTATTTGAATTACTTCTCAAAACATAAGATGTGAGTTGTGGCATTGTCCTATTTGAAATACAGAATTAAGGTATATGTTTAGCCAGTTCTCAGCAAAATAGTCTGCAGGACGATTGAAATGCAGATAAGAATGAGAACTTCAGTGGATGGCCTGTAACCTATGCCGTGTTCTGTAGAGGAATAGTAATCTGTTTGGGTTTGGTGTTTTTCCTTTTGGCCAATTCTATTCTCATTGCTATAAGCACTGAATAGTGTCCTCTCTGAACATATTTCTATTCTGTAATGCAATAAGACTGTTCAAAGCTTACCTCATAGCTTTAAGTCAGCAAATTTAGCCTTCACTGCCTTCTTTAAAATGGAAAGACTGAGAAAAGAACTTTCTTAAGGATTTTGGTTTGTGGGAAGACTTAATCTTTTTTGCATAGAATTAATTTTTAGTGTCTTCATATTCCAGTTACCATGGGGATCTGGAAGGGTGTGATAATTCCTTGGTATCAACTACAGTGACAGCACTGAACTATTAATAAATCAGAGGCAAAATGAAGGGAGCAGAGGCATTGCAGTGGGTTAAGTGCTGCTTGATTAGCTGTGAGAGTTCATTCTTAGATATCTTCTTTAGTAAATGATCATCTGAGATACTAAACATGGCGTATCTGTGCAGTCAGTTAGGTTTTTAGCAGGACCAAAAATAGGCTAATTGGTTTGATGAAAGTAGATTGGGCATTGTTAATACTAGTAGGCAAATTAAAGAAGGGGAGAAAAAACCAAAATCTGTCTGTGGGAGATGTTGAAATGTTTCTGAATGCTGTTCAAGCTTTATAAGATGTATGTATTGTTCTTCAGCAGACTTCTGTTCACAGTATTGATTAGCAATTGAAGAGAAACAGAATTAAATGCCTTAAAACTTCAGAACACTTCAGAGATGCTAGCTTATTTTTCAAAAATTACATGCTAAATTGTTTCTGTCAAGAAATGTGAAATGTGGAAGTTAATTCTGTGCTTACAGTAACTTACAGGAATATGCTTCCTATTCACCCCCTAAAGCATTTGCCTGGTTTAAATAATGACTCAAATTTATTATTCTTATTACATAGCTCGACTTTTGATTTTTCAGGTTTTATACAACTATATAAATTGAGTAACTTGAGTCAGTCAACCAGGATTCTCTGTGTGAATACCTGCAGAAGTGATAGAACTACTTATGTTTGAAACACATAGCTAGCATGATTTATGGACAAAAAAAAAGCCCACAATGAAAGGAATGTTTCTGCCTAGCACACTTCATCTTATCTTTGTTCTCAACAGAGGAAAGAATGCAGTTTTTGTGCTTGCTGCCTGCAAGCCTTCAGAGTTCCATAGCCACTGGCATTTACCACAAAGCTCCATGTCATGAGTCTAACTTGAGCTTGCCTTCTTTTTTTAATTGCGAATGTGGAAGGGTGCTTTCCCATGAAGAGCCATTCTGTCATGTAACTCAGTTTTTCCCCTTACTCTGACACGAGATAATGCCCTACTAGGAGTGAGCTTTGGACAGGAACTACCTGAGTACTGATAGAAAGTGAGGGAAGCGTGAAGTACACCAACAGACAGGCTGAGGTGCCATACTTGAGCTTACTCTCAATGTGCTTTTTCTGGTCCAAAGCTGAATTTGGCTATGGCTCCAAAGCAGAGAATAAACTACAGACAAAGAATATTTTAAGTCTTTATATCTTGTTCCATCCCAGGAAATACAAAACTTGCACTACAGCTTCATCATGCATGCTTCTTTTTAATCACTGCTTATTTAGACTAACATTTTTGAAACTCTTTGATCTTTCATCAAACTTAACTAGGTTGCATGTACCAGTTAAGCTTTGGCTTCAAAAACGTTTTTATGCATTTGACATTTTCATCAGACTGACTTAAAGAAAACAACCTCCTTCCATTGTACTGATTTCTCACAAAACATCATGCTTTGTGGTGGTTGGGTCATTGACCACCTGAATTTTTTTTTGCTTTCTGTTAAAGTCTCTTTTTAAGTAACCTCCTGGGGTGATGCTTTATAATCCAGAGCTATGACAGGATCACCTTGAATATTTACATCTGTGAATAGAATTTTTCCCTGTATGCATGTGTACAAATCAAGACAATCTTACTCCATTGGCAGCTCTTGTCAAGTCCTGAAGACCATCATTAAACTTAAAAAGACTGTACCTGCTAAAAAAAATCTTTCAAATAATAGCTCACTTTTGTAAAATATTCCTGGCCATATTTAGTTAAGCCTTTTAAATGTATGCAGAGCAATCATACCCTTAATTCCTGATGAACTTCTGCCAGTGTAGTCACAGCACTGCAGTAAAATTGAATGACAGGAAGCTGTCTAAAAGTGAGTAATTCATGTTGGCCTTGAGCTTTCTAGCATGAAATGTTAATAGATGGAGCATCTGAAATAAGGTAGTGTAGGTTTATAAAGCTCCTGGTTTTGTTCTCTTTCATCACAGTGATTGGTGCTAATGCATTTGAATGATGAGCTTTCATAATACATGCACCATCTAAACCTGTATCTTTCAGGAGAAAATGAGTAATTTCTTCCATCAGAATTTTTGTGGCAGCGTAAATGTGGCTGACCAAGACAACTTCTGTTAAAGATGTCTGTGATCTTGCAAGCAGATAGAAAGAAGTGTTTGGCCTTTGCTTTTTGCAGCAGAGAGAGAAGCTTTTTCAAGCATTTGTTGCTATCTTTGTTATGGGCAGTCACAGCCTCACAGAGCGTGTTGGCAGTTTCTGTGAAGACTGAAGAAGTTAAAGTCTTTTCTTCGTACTCAGCTTGTTTTCTCTTTTTCCTCCATAGCTTCTGGGCATGTTGTGTGCCTGTATAGTGTTGTGTAGAAGGAGTCGGGATCCTGCTTACGAACTTCTCATCACTGGTGGAACCTATGCCTAGAAGACAATGTGAACAACGTGGTTCAATCTTATCTCACTTTGTGGAAGGTGAATGGGCCAGGTCTACTGCAATAGTTTGCTTGTCCTAAGCTTAGTCAGAGCACACCTTTCACAGATGAGGAGAGCTGTACTGTACACTGGTGACGGGCAAAGCAACTCAGCTTTACACACACCCATATATACCTGTGACTTTCACTGTTCTAGCCAGCAATTCATGTATCTAAATGTTTTAGTATACTAGTAAACTTCCTGATTTCAAAACTATTTGCAAGTTAAGTGTAAATTGGCTGATGTGGAAGTCAAAGGATGTGTGCCTACTTTGGTAGAATTACCTCTAAGCATTAACTGACTGATTCTTGCATAGAGAGAGAATTTGTTAAACCTTCACTACATGGAACTTTTTTGGCCAAAGCTGTACAAAGGAAGCCAGCTGTATTTAATTTGAGAAGTATTTTAGTCTTGCCCCTCACCAGTGTCACTTTTTAAAAACACTTAAGTGAAGTCCAGTACTCTTTATATATAAATAGTAAAACAAAAACTAACCAAAATCTTAGGATCATGCGACTGCAGTTTCGACCTTCAGAGATCAAACCTTTCAAGCATTAGTGTTTTAAAATACAAGCTGGCTTTTCAGGAGTATAATGTATGCACTACTGTTCTATAATGAAATATTTCATTTTTCTATGAGGAGCGGTTTTATGTGTTGAGTGAACTGTTAGAGTGTAGCTCTTAAACTGGTTTGGAAATAACGTAGCCATGTAGAGTAGCAAAGTAGTACGTGAAAGTGATCTCAACTGTAAATAGTAAACCTGATTAAATAAATCTCTGTATATCCGCCCTATAATTGTCTGGTTTTTCTATTTAAGATTCCAGTGTATTGGTTCAAATGGAGTCTGCAAGTGCTGTAAGCTTTAATGTATGAAAGCACGTGTTTTAAATAGAGATTTAAGTGAATTCACTTAAGATTTGGTGGGAGCTTGTGTTTATATCAGATGTGTTTGTTTTATCTGATGCGGTACTTAGGAAGCACAGCAGAACAAACTTAGTTAAACTTAGTGGAAAGTTAACACCTTGTGAGCACGATTAGGGAAGAATCTGATTTCTCAACAGTTGGAGATCAATACTGTTGTATTTTAATTACATGTTAATCTGTCCTGTGTTATTCAGATACTTTGTCACTGCTCTGTTTTCAAAGGCTTCAGTTACTTCTGTAGAAGACGGCAGTGTTCAGAACTTCTACTGCTTTTTCTCATGCTCTTTATTATGCAAAATAGATTTGTTCAGCCACATTGATTGCAGCACATTGATTGTAGTGTTCTCAGACACCCAAAGAAATGTCAGTCAAGAAAGGGCAAATCTAATGTGTGGTCTGCTAAGACCAACGACTTTCTTCCTGTTGTTTCACTATTGCAAAAGTACACTTGTGGACTTCTGTGTTAATTTCTAAACATGGGCTGCAGATGATGTGCTCTTAGAATTGTATGTGCGCTAATAACCTGAAAGGCCTCTTGGGACACTGGTATTAAATGTCACGGATGTGGGAAATAAGCTTGCTAACAGAATCCACTGTTAGTAGAGAGGATGAATTTAAGGATTATGTGCATCTTGTTGTATTACATACATTATATACACTTGGCAGAATCTCAGAGTAATGAAACTTAACCTTAACACTTAAGAACTAGACCAGGACAGATTTTAAAAACAGGTTTGTATTGCACAAGACAAAGGTAAGAATACCTCAAAAAGAGGTCAGCTTTTACTAGCTATGAGGCACGTATAAGCTCTGCAGCCAGCAGCCTACAGGTACTCCTTTGAAGTCAGTGTAATTATGGAAAGATTTCTGCTACAATGCACGTACTTGTTAATCTTGCTGGAAGACATGGATTTGTACTACAGGTGACTTGACTGCATAGCACCAAATACCTGCTTGTAGATCAGGGAGGCCTCTGCATGTTTCATAAAATAAAATTCATGCTGAAATGTAGAAACTTCTTTTAAAATCTAATCAATAAATGCTTTACACCTTACTTGCATAAAGGGCTGAACTAACCCAATACAATTTATAACTGTGTAAATTTGTTGTTGAAAACTAGTGGCATTTTTGCATGATTTGTCAGCATTCTATATACAGTGTCTTGTCTGACTGCCCCAAACTGGCAATAAGTGCTATCTCCATAGTAGTCAGATATGAAAAGAGATGTAGGAGCTGACTGGTTTTACTGCTCAAGGTTTTTGAGTGATCATGTGTTGTAGATTTACTTGGGTTGCTTTCTGCTCGTTAGTACAAACAGCAGGATTCACACTTAAGAAGGAATATGACAAGTTCTCATTTAGGGATTGAAATATGATTGTTTTGTCACCATACCTTCTGCCATCACTTCTACTGGTGTAGACTTGCTGAATTCTGAAGGTAATTAAAAGCCAGAGAGGTCAAGTATTTGTAACTTGTATATTTCAGCTCAATTACTGTTAAATATAACCATACTGTTACGAGTTTTGGATTGGCAATAAATCTATTTTGCTTACAACTCCAGGACTGCAAACTGATCTGGCAGGCTTCTGAAACTCTGACTTTGGTCCATGTATAACCCTAAAGAAAAACTTAATCCTGAGTCCTGTAGTGAAGGACTTCAATATTAAGGACAGAAAGCAAAGGTGAGGTTTATCCAGCTTTAGTTCCTGCATAGGTGTCCCCTTAAAAGCTGTCAGCAATAGAAGTACTTGTTCTACTTGCTAAGGAGTTGCTGTTACTGTGCATTTTAGACAAAAAGCTCAGGTGTGGGTTGCAGTTATTTGTGGAAGTACTGTTCTGTATACCTATTGCAATAGTAATTGCAGCTTATTTGGCAATTAACTTTGTGGAAGAAAAACGCTGTTTGGGTGTGCATATACAGAGAGAGAAACTGCTCTTTTTGAGTATGTTAAACTGATATTGAAATGTCTCTTGATACACTGGACTACTTGCTGCTGGTGTCAGGAATGTATCTGAGAAAAGTTTCTTGGATTGCTTGTCTTCTGGCTGAGTTCTTACCTATGTTGAATCCGTGGTGTCTGCTACTCTTATTAAAACTCTGCTCTTAGCAAACTATTCATGTGCTGCAAAAAATGACAAGCTACATTTCTGTCCTGTGGGAAAAGGAGTGCTATTAGAGAGTTTCAGCAAGTTGGTGCAGTGGTATGCCTTTTCTGCTTCACTCCTTGCTCAACAGCCTATGCAAGGTTTGAATCCCAGTGTTTTCTTCACCTGACTGACGATCCACACTGCAATGAGATATTAAGTGCTTTTTTCACTGTTGAGAAAAACTACCTTACTATTAAAGAACAGCAAGAAGGTCTCAGTAACATAAGCCAATCTGACAAGTAATACTCTGCTAAATAGTTTTTCTCACAGTACAGGCTTTTCTTGTTTTGTGACTCTTCAAATGAAGTTTCAACATAATGAAACTCAGACTACAGTCAGTGTTCAAGGCAGTGTTTTGCAGTATTGTTTTTATTGTCTCAATGAACAGCACAAAAGGCGAAACAGCTCCTTGCCCATCCAAGCAAAAGGTAAAAACTTGTGTGAGCGATGTGGAATAGCAGCTTTTCCTTCTAGAAGATTCAGTGGATAATTTTTCTAGTTGTTTCTGTTGAATCCTGTTTAGCTCAGGACAGCAGTCTGCAGTGTTAACTACACTAGCTAGTTTAAAACAAGTACCAAAGGCTACTGAGCCATGACAGCATACCAGTTCTGTAAGGGCTACTTAATATTACTGAGAAAAATGCCATAAATTAGTCTTAGATGATCTTTGAGGTCTTTTTCAACCCAGGCCATTCTATGATTCTATACTTAATTAACACCACCAGGGGTGGGCCACTCCTTCCAATTCCAGCTAGTTTGGTTTCCTCAATATTGTTATAGTTTGTGGTGCAGGTTCTGTTGGAAACAAGCCACGTCTTCATTTGAGTGGCCCGGTATCTCTGGTCTGCTCTGTGATTCTGTATTGTTTTCACTTATCCTTTTCCTGCATGCCCTAGCTAGCTTACATACTTGAAACTGAAGTATGAGCACCATTCTTGTTAGTATTTTAAACATGAATTTTTAGTTTCTCTCCTTCAATGTTACTATCACTGATCATCTTACTTTTTCCTTTCATCTTCTAGACACAGCATCAATATGTTTTAGTATTTTTGAAGTTCAGCATTCTAGCCATCCCTCTGGATTATCTGGTAGCTGTACGTGTCACACTTAACTTTTAGATGTAGTTGTATTGACTGCTCTCAAGATCTTTCTTCTGTGTACTTAGTTATATAGGTTGCTCCAGAAAGTAATTCCTTCTATTTATTTCCATGGAGATGACAACAGCTACACAGAGCACAATAACATTATTTGATAGAGCAAATTCTCAACTACGAAGTACTATTTTTCAATGTCATTGCTACCCTTGGTTGTGCATTTTTGCATGTGATGAACAGTAGCCTGCATGCTGTGCTGGTAAAAAAAAAATCTGCCATCAGCATAGGTGACCCACTGCCAGCACTGCTGAAATGCACCACCCACTGCCTTGCTGCACTCACATCCACTGTTTGGTCTTCATAAATGGTCAGCAAGCACCAGTGGGTGTCAGTGGGGGCCATTTTCTCCCTGTGGAGGAATTCACTTCACCCCTTTGCTCCATCCACGCTTCTGTGTCAGACGCCATTTTGTCGGTGCCCCTCTGCTGCTGTCTGTCCCCCAACAACCAAAGGCAAAGGTAATGGAATTCTGAGGGAAGGTTCAACCCCTGCTGCTGTACCACTAACATTCACTGTTACCATTGGAGCAGGCCTTGTGTTTTTGAGTACAGAATGTGTAGGATGTCCCTACCCCTTTATCTGCCACAATTTATCTGTAGCACTGTGTGTAACAGAAATCAAATCTGTAACAGTGAGATATTACAGCACAGGAAATGCAGAACCAATAAATGACTTTCGGTACCCTGTTGATAGACTTGATGGAAACTCTGTAGGACTGAGACTGATTACACTTTAGTGCATGAGTTACATTTTCATGATTCATTGCACTGTCAAATACTGGTAATGTTATTTATAAAGTCTAGCCACTTTTCAGCATCTACTATTAATGCTACTTCAGCCAGTGAAGCCACTAATGCTAGTCATATTGATTCAGAGAGCAAAAGGTTTGTCTTGTTGTTAAGGAGGGTGGATATATCTGTATTGCTTGATGGGACTTCAATTTTTGATTCCAAATAGCAATATGTTTTCTTCAGCCTAGCTGCACACTGGAATGGTCACTCATCCAAACCAACTGGATCAGGTGCTCTCTGCTGAAGAGGCAATGAGGTCTCTGTGCAGACTGCATAAGGAGTTATTTGAGGAATGACTGAATACATACATGCTCTGTGGAGCATGCAAGCATGCAGATTGCCCACAGTGGTGAACCTCACCTGATCCAAGGCTTTTTAACACATGCTTAAAAATGGATATTTTCTCTTGCTGCTATTTGAGTGACTGTGACATGAACTGTAATGCAAGTCCCATGCTTCACTTACTAATTACTGCTGTAATATAAGGCTCATGAGAATGAGCTGCATTCAAACTATAGTCTGGTGTGGTCAGGTATGGATTTGTTTTATTAAGTAGGGAAATAGTCTGGGTGCAGTTCAGTAAAGCTAGTAAAATGACTGTCATGGTAGCAGGAAGATGACAGCTTTTCAGCTTTAATTTTTTGTTGTTGGTATTTTAGATGGTACTTGAGACATTAGATGTGATAACAGTTGTAGTGGTGGATTCTGCAGGACAGAAATAGTGGACCTTGTAACTGGCTGAATCTTAGGTCTGAGATAAACCCCTCTGAGATGCAATGGCAGTCTCTGAGTGTGGTGGGTCTTGGGTTTTCCCATGCACTGTGTCCCATAGCATATGTGCATACTTGTATGAATGCTGTTTAGCAGTCTGCTACTTGAGCCTCCAAATTCTCTTTTTCACATTTGCTCTTTGCTGCCACTCTGAGTGGAGCAAGTGCCCTTATACATATATATAATAAGCTGACTTAGAATTCCAAATCCCCTTTCAAAAATTCATCTTGCTAGTCTTTTCCTTGCTGATCCAGTTCCCTCTGGAGCTGGATTGAATCAGCAGGTACAAACTTTGCCCTTCTCTCCTACATCCAGGTGAAAGGTCTATGTTGCAAGGAAAAAAAAAAAAAGCTAAAGTAACCCTGCAACGTGTTCTTCTGTGCAGCATGTCGCTTACTGCTCAAAAGTAAGGCTTAATCCTGGGCTACTTGTCACTAGAATGAGCCATAGCAGCATGGGGTCCCAGATCTGTGCCCCTCGAGACTTTGGAGACAGCTTTGCTTTCATCTTGGTTGTGTAGTGCTTTGGGCAGCAGCCCAAATGGGCCTTTGCCTCATTCCATAGATGAACTTTAGTTTTTTCCAGGATGAACTGCTGTCAGATCTTTGCTAGCATCAGACCGTGACTGAAGAACCAGGATTAATTTCCTTGACATAAATCAAGTGCTTAAGGTGTTTGAGGTGCTTAGGAGCTTCTGTGATTCCTTGCATGCAAAAGCAGGAATCATCTGAAAAACTCCTTTCAAGCAAGTCTGAAATGTTTCTCACACCTAAACAAAACTGCAGTAAGATATTATGTAATGCTCCATACTGAATGGGCTGCTAGTGAATTGAGTGTAGAGGGATAGTCATCAAATGCTGTCAGTTGCAAGAGAAAGGTAAGCCATCTTTAGTAAGCGTTGCCCCATGTACATCTGTACCAGGCCTCCAGCAAACAGGATATAGGCATGACTGTTTCCTAGGAGGTTCTACAGGAGAATTGGGCAGTGTTGTTCCCAACAAGTGCTTCCAGGGTTTGAAAAATTCTCCATTCCTGGGAGTAGTGCTTGTTGCTAAGAGTCCAGCACTATACTTACTATACTCTTACACTTGGAATAAAACATCCATTTTAAAAGCATGAAAGCCACTGTTTTAACCTGGCAATGTTGGTACACATGGGTGGTGAACAAAGGTGTTGGCATCATGTGATAGTGCATTGAGGATACAGAATGCAGAGCAAAGATAAATTTAGGTCCTATGCTGATAAATGATCTGTATTTTGTATTCTGTTTTTTTTGTTTGTTTGTTTTTAACAAGAAATTGGTACAGGATCCTGCAGAGCAGGGAGGATGTGTTTCTCAAGTTCCCTCTATCTCTAGAATATGGCATCTCTGGTTTTGAATCCCTGAATTGAGCAGTGACCGTAGTAAGACCTTTAGATGCCACTTAGTGGAACAAAGTCACTGTCACTCATGTCTCCCTTCCTCACAATGGTTCAGACACAGGGAGGGCTGTGCAGCCCTTCTCTAAAGACAAAGCGTTTCTCATGTCTATCAGTGCATTGAAAGCTTTCCCTTTCACACTTACTTGAACGTTTTTATCCCAGGAAGGTTAAAGTTCATCACTTTCCCAAGAAGCTCCTACACAGACTGTTTACAGCTTAAAATTTTGAACAATTCTGTCTCAGATGCAGCTGTTGAGCATTTCTGCCCTTGCAAAGTGGAAAGGGATGTACTAAGCTTCCCCCAACTCCCCCGTGTCTTTAGATTGTGATTATTATCTCACGTCTGCAAACAGCAAAGCTGGGACGAGATGTTTTATAAAACTACTGTTTTCTGTTTTTAAATCTCAATGTTAGTGGCTCTTTCAGATCTGATATGTAAAATTCCTTCTGATTTAAAAAAAAAAACAAAGCAAAACCCTAGGATATTTGTTCCCTCACCCCCCACCTCACTCCTGATATCTCTGTACACTCTTCATCACCAATAAGCTATATGGAAATTTCTAATTCTCAGCTGTTTGTTACATTCTAAGCCCAGTTCTGTTTGCCTGCTGATTTTGGAGGGTTTTGTTTTTTCCCTTGTAAATTTCAGTTATAACAAGTCAAATTTCTCCTGGTTTTGCTAAAAGATAGCTGGAAGCCCTGAATGATTTCTATTTAGAATTTTATCTCTAAAGCAAGGATGTACTCTAGTCTTTAGTTTATGCCTTGGGTCAAAATACAGTAAATCTGGCTTTTGAACCGCGTGCCAGACAGAAATTGCTGCAGCTGTGTGACACGCAGCAGCGGCAGCCTGTAAATTTGCTCTTAACTTTGCACCAAGCAGCTCTGTGCCAGGTCAGGTGTCTTCTGTCCTCCAGCAGCTGGTGGAAGGACAGGAAGAGCACTACCATGTATGCTGGCTAATTGGACAGAAATATGATTACCTGTCCATGCCAGAAACAGATCCAGTTGGCACTGTGTGTCATCTAGCACTGCACAAATCTGAGGGTAGCTGTGACCTTGAGCTTCTCTCTGCCAAAATGGGAGTAGGCCCTTGAGAGTAGGTAATTGCTAACAAACACTTTGAAGAAAAGTACTTTTCCCTTCCCAGTGTTAGTTTTTTCTTCAGTGTCAGTGGGCTATTGTCAATTTGTTAAAAGCACACTAACTTGCAGGACCGCAATTCTCACTCCCCATCCAAAACCTGTTCTATGAGAGTCCTCTTTCCCCTAAAGAAAAATAAAACAATCAACCCAGTCAATCCCTGCAAGCTCCTAGCAATCATTTACTTTTCAGAAGCTTGACGTGGCCTAGCATACCAATTTCATCTCCTTCTTTAAAAATAAAACAAAAAAACTAAAGCAACAAGTAGGTGAGAAGAATATTTTAGAGATAGATCTGAAGGGAAATGGTAATGGTACAACTCTCAGCCATTCTCTTCTCTTTAGCCCTACTACAGTGAGCATGCCCGAATCCACAGCTGTGCTATTAAAAACACCTGTGATGGGCATTCTAATTAATTTAGGAAACTGGTGAGTGGTAGTGACTGATCCTAATCATGTTGTTAGTTCTGTTTTGTAACAGCTAACTCTGATTTACTTCTGAGGCTTGGCAGCTCGCTCCTGCCTCTGAGCCCACGATAACAAAGAGATGTGGATCTGAGGGGTGAAGGCCGAGCTAAGAGCAGCACCTTCTTGTTTTCCTTGCTCATTAGTGCTGAGTGATGTTTGTGCTTTAGGGCGCGTGAATTATTAGTAGCTGTGTGGTTGGAGAGCAATAAAGCAAGGGAAGAGAAGGTGTTTTGAGCAGCAGAAACTCATTTTTGAGGATTGGCTATTTGTTCTGTACTGTTCAGAATTATTGCCAGCCTACACTGAAGGTTAACAACATTTCAGTGCAGTAGACTCAGTTTATGTACTACTGATAGAGAGTCCCCTGGGTTCCCAAAGTCTGCAAAGGTAAGCGAGCCAGCACTGATACAGCCAAGAGGATACATAGTGCTATAGAAGCCAGCATATTAGTTACCCACCAGTGCTTACATTAGGTGTTTCTGAACACCCAGCCAGGTTCCTGTCAGGCACCACCTGATGCCTGGCTTGTAACGAATCTGCTCTTGGCATCTGTGTGTTTCCACTTAAATTGCATATCGTAGTGAGAGCTGCAATCAAGTATCTTCATCCATAAAATTACCTCTGGAAAGGAGCCCTGGACTTCAAAGGCACCCCTTCAAGGAGCAAGACGAGTACAAGGTAAGAGCTGATGCTGTTAACATCATATATATGTGATCTGCCAATGCTGTGGCTCAAGTATGCTGGAATTATTCTTGGTATGAAGTTCAAGCAAGAGTCTTCAAGGAGGTGATACTCAAAACCTCCAGTAGCCACTGTGTTCCTGATGTTGGTGACTGCTCTGTCTATTGTAGAAGTGATTGATTCATTTCTTTCTCTCAGCTGAGTACTTGCAAACAATGCCAGAAGCTACCTGTCTGTAGCAATGGTCCTGTAGAACTTGGCAGAAGGTCCTTTCTTTGCAATTGAGTCCTAACTGTGTTGGCTGAGCCCCCAGGATCCTTGTTGTTACCAGTCTAATACTGCTTTGTCTGACCAAGGTTTTCCAAGGGGCTTGTGGGCTATTAATGGTATATGCAGCAGCTGAAATCTGTTTTGTTCCTTAGTGGGCCTCACTGCACTAGCAGGCATCTTATAATTGCATATTCAACCAGGCTTTCCTGTTCTTCTCCTTAATTAATACCATGGTAAAAGGGCAATAATGTACGTAACTGAGCCTGGTTTACAAGTACTGTTGGTCTGAGTCACGTGCTTCTAACTTTTGAAAATTTGCTTCTGCTAAAGGAACAATAGAATCTCTGTACTTCTTACTAGCAGTCTCATGACCACATTGCTCAAATCCGGAATCCATCTAGGAGAGCAGCAGGTGTGAACCTCAGTTTGTTTGTATTCTGTTGTGATCTATGTGGGAAATGACTCCAGTCTTTCTTACCCGTCTTGTTTAATGGATAGAAGATGCCTGCTGGCTTCTTATGATCTAGTAAGAATTTCTAGAGATAACAGTTGTAAGTCTGAAATTGTTCAGCATGAAATATTTGTTGTCACTTGTGCAAAATGAAGTCTTACCTTGCGGTGCTTATTCAAAAACAGCTCAGTAACGTTATTGCAAATTTGCTTTAATTAGTTTGACTCTATTTACATATTAGCCATAGGCTGTAAGTGGGTAATTGGGCTCCCCCCTTTGCAAAGCAGCTGGCAAAAGCGTGTTCTTCACTGTCTGCTAACAGCTGCTTGTGTGTGAACCCATCCAGAGCACTAGCAGCACAGGTAGTGCCACAGAGGTAATCTGCTGATTGTGGACGTGCTGTGAAATCAGTTTACTTGCCATAGCTGTGTGTGCCACTGCTGCCATGGCCCTACTTGTTGCTTGTCACCTCCTCAGCAAAGAATGGTAGTCAGGGTGGAGGTAGAGCCTTATCAGAAGTGTCTATCAGAAAAGCATCTCAGCCAGATACACCGGAGTTGAGTTTAAGTATGCCTGCCCCTGGAAAGGATCTGTTTTAGTTTCACCTGAAAATTAAATGATTTCTTGAATGCTTCAGTTTTGTTACCAAATAGCTACCAAGCTGGAGAGGCAACATTATTATTAAGGCAATGCCCTACGTTTGACCTTCCTGCTTTTCGTACTGCCTGGAATGGATGACACTGAAAGGGGTGTTTTAAGGGAGTGTGTGTGTATTTCTCGATATTTTTGTTTTATTTCTGACAAGTGCTGACACACTGATAGAGCAAGCTGCATAGATATGGCTTATTAACTACTTATCAGCAAGATTCTTCACCATAAAGCACAGAAACTGAATTATGAGAAAACATTGCTGTTGCTTTTCCATTTCTTATCAGCCTAGAGTTAGCATGTGGGAACCAAATGCTACAAGAATGGGTAGATTTGGAAATATCTGTAGCCTTTTGCAGTTGTAACAAACAGGAGAAAACTTGACTTGAAAAAAAAAAAAAAAAAGATAGGAAAGGAACCAGTTTCCTGAATTTAACAGCAAAAATATGAAATGCTTTGATGGGGGAGATACAGTAGTCACCATCTGTCTGTCAGCTGATGCAGACCATATGGTCTGTGTAGGCAAAGACAATCCATAAAAGGATTTCAAGGTAACCAGGACTGGGTACTGCAGTGTCTTGTGTGAGGCTGTCTGTGAGGAGTCTTAGCAGAATCCCTATGTCATATACTGTTAGAAGAGTTGCATCTTAGAGATTTATTTTAATTCAGATCGCTTGCAAAATATTTCAATATCTGCTGGTTGATTAGTTCTCTTTGTATTCAAGCAAATACATTAAATCCTTCACACTTTAGGTTTGCTCTTATGCAGTATGCAAGGATCTGTTGTTGTTGTCTGACAGTTGCATTTACAGTGCAGTTAACTAATTGGAGGCTATTGTGGACTCTTGGCACTGTCAGTTCAGACTTGGTCACAGGACACTGTCGTTGACATCCTCAGCCTGTGTGAGTACTGCTGTTAGTACAGTGTAGTGCCTGAAATGACATTCAAGTTCCTGCAGTTCTTCTGAGCCTCTGCTGATGGGAGCTGCTAAGAGCCCTAATGCAGATGTGCAACATGGTAACTTGGGCAAGCATAGGAAAGACAAGTGTGCTGTGTGTGCAGGAGGACAGAGAGGGCCTGCAGCAACTTTTATTTCATTCTGGAATCAAGAAATGAGAATACGATAACGCAAGTACCTTTGACTCTCACCGTGCTTAATTTCTGAATAGAGAGAAGTGGCACAAAGTACTTAATGATCTCTTGCAAAGTATAGTGCTGGTTGGAAGCATTCCTAAATGCTGGACTAGCAAGACTGCTAGAGCTGTAACCTATGAGGTGCAATGGACCTGCTCAGCACAGCTTCTCCGCAGAGGCTTTGTTGTAGCACAAGCACATTAGAAGTAAATGGAAAGGAACCCAGCCAAATCTGTGCCAGCTATCCCAGAGCTGCAGAGGCTGTAGATAATCAGAGACTGAAAAGCCGGTGGGCAGGAAAGGATCAGCTGGGTGAACAGAGAAGTTAAAAGGAGAATGCACTGAGGGCACGTCTGTGCAGACTGCATGTGGAGGCAACCAGCACTTCTTTCCCAGGATCAGGGCAGGGCAGCACTGCTAGAAAGCTTTTTTTAAACATGAAAAATCCCAGCAAGGTGTCAGAGAAACCATCCAATTGAGGTAAAAGCAGGCCTTGGGCTCTTTATCTGCCCTCATTTGGCTGTCCCAGAATCCAGTGCAAACAGAGCCATGGATGAACTTGTGATGTAGAAGCTATCTGCTTTCTGAGAATGTGTGCTTCCTGCTCTTAGCTCAGCCCTCAGAAACAGTTGCATGATGTGTGCAGTGAGAAGAGGGAATCCGTGGTGGAGGTCATGGCTGCTATGGTGGTAAGGGTTGCTCGCAGGCTGACTGGAGGTGCTCCTCCATCCTGGACAAGCAGAATTAGCTTCTTTTTCCTTTAGCATAGTCAAGTTCTAAGCAGGGTTTTTCTCCCAGATTCTGATGGCAGCAGTGCTGAGAGTGGAAAGCACCTTTGTGAGAAACCTGAGTCCTCGTCCTGCTGAGATGAAGACAGCTTTTTTCAGACAGTGTGAGCCAGAAGTTGTTGAGAGGAGAGAGGATCGATGGGAAGGAAGATGAAAGCAGTTATTTCCTGACTGGTAAATGTAGAGGGCAATATAATGGGTTGTTCTTGGTCGGCTGGAGCAGACCTTGTATGATGTTTGTTTTCAGTAGAAGAATATTTTCAAAGTCTAAGGACTGAGGCTACGCTTCAGCAAATCTTTTCAAGGTAAGACCCTGGCACAAAGCCTCGCTGCCCATTCCTTTCAGCTGTCCACCAGCCATTGTCATTTTCTTCAATGACAGCTACAATGTCTCCTTCGTTGATGTCCAGTTCATCCATGTTCTGCAAGGGGACAGGGAAAGGAAATGTTGTTAACCTGAGCATGCAGGAGGGACCCACATGTCTTGTGGGTTTTTGGTTTTTTTTTTACCCTGTCTTTCATCAAGAGTCTGTCAGTGTCCTCTTGATTGGGAATGAGCCTAAAATACCAAACAGTGGAGGATTAAGCACCTACTGAGCTGCCTATTTCCTTAAGATCCTCAGAACGTTCCCTAGCCTCCTGTTGTCTCCTCCTGAGTAACCTTTTTTATCATAAGGGAAGGATGGAAAGGGTTAAATGTGACTGTCCCAAACCAGCCAGCCATGAACCTTCCTTACTCTACAGCTGTTGCTCAATTGAACAGTGCAAGGCTTAATTTCTGGCAGAGATAAAAACAGTATCTCTATAAATCCAGCCCATAAATAAGACTCTTGGTTCTCTTAATAACAAACAGTGGTGACCAGTGGAGGAACTTTTAAGCCTACAGATTAAACTGTGACAGTCCTTTTGGCAGAGACTGATGGTGTGGCAGGAGTCGATGTGAAGAAGAAAGTATTTTTAACCAGTCTTGAGAAAAAATATAGAGGAAAGAATCATTTTATGGATTTGGATGAAATTATAACAATCATAATATGGAAAGCGAGAGCAGGTGTCCTACATGCTGTATGTTTTATTTACACCACTCTTTGAAACCTGTGGCTGCTGTGAAATAAAATATTCATTAGATGCATCAAGGGCCTGAGCCACTGTGTCTTGGTCCTTTTTCTTTCCATTTTTGGTGTTTTAGAAGGTAATCTGCATGATAGGAATAATGATGTCTCTCTCTCAGAGTTCATCTACAGGTGAGGAGTCTGTGTTTTTGAAGCTTAGTACAGTGGTTTGCCCTCTAATACTGTAATCTTACTAATGGTATTATGCTGAGAGAGGTCTGAAGCCAGTGAGAGTTTAATACCCGGGTTAAGGATGCAGGTTGTGGTTTATAACACTCTTTTGGTACACAGGCCAAGTCTGCTGTGATTCTGCAACTTGCAACACTGATACTCTGTCATTTCTGGGGATTCAGTCCTCCCCAGCGTGGAAGAGACCTCAGTTAAAACCAGTGTGTTATACTGGAGCAGGACTCTCCAGACGATGTGCGAGATCACATGGAGAGGAGTTCTTAATCAAGCATCCATCATGTAGTCTGAGATCTGCTATAAAGCTGCAGTAGAGTTTATAAGAGAGATCTCTACCTATTTTCTTACTCAGGGAGGACATTTCACAGAAAATGTAAGTTCAGAATGCTCAGTATTGCACATCTGGCCATCATCACCAAAATAAAGTTTTCCATGTGTCCTTAGGAGATTGCAACAGCTCAGGACCAATTTAGGCAAGCGTAATTACTTGCAAAGAGACTTATTGTTTCATCCTGGGCAGAGCACGGTCCAGTGATCTGTGCCAGCAGCTCTAGGTGCCCTCCTCTGAAAAAGGAAGGGAAGCTAACAGCTCCTTTGCACAGTTAATGCTTTCAAGATGTTTAGATCAGCATTCGGTTTTAAATCTGACACTGTATGCAGTATTTAGTTTGAAGCCTTTGTTTACCTGGGCTGTGTAGTCATAAAGTACTCTGTAGTCCTGTGATGATGTAGTTCTTCCATGTTCATTTACAAAAATGTCTGCGTAGACCCCATCTGTTTTCTCTGCTTGTGGAGAGGGGGGAAGGAAAAACAGAAACAAAGGGTTCAGTTGCTTATAAATGCATGGGATCATATGCAAGAGTTCACAAATACAAGGGTCTCTGTTCTCTCTCTGTCTGGAGGTGTACGTGTATAGAAAAGCTGCTGTGAACTGTAGGTAAATTCTCGCACAAAAACTATGTGCCATTGATTGGGTGACAGTGCAGCCATTGAACCTTCTGGGAGGTCAGAAGCATTAGCTTCATCCAGGTTAGGAAAAATGTTACCCCGCTAAAGCACGATCACAGTAGTGCAAAGAAGGAAGTACTGTGAGTAAATTGGTTTAAGATGTTTGCTACTGGAGATGTGGAATTCTGGCAGTGCAGTGATTCACACAGGGCTTTTCTTTTTCCTTTGAGAAAAGTGGAAAATACTGTGTTGGTGTGGTGGGTCATCAGACATTTTTCATTAGTTCATGTAGTTTCCATTTAGCCATTTGTCACAGATAGGACTTTTCTGAAAGAGATTTTAAACTAGCTTGACATAATTAAGGAAAACTCCTGTCATTCAGGAAAAGGCAGAGCTAGCCCTGTTGAAAAGAACCACCTGGGTCTCTTCTGCTGTTTTTGTGCTCGTGATGTAACCACAGTGGTAAAATGCAAGAACCAAAGCCTTGCTGCTGTGGATGCTGTTGTGCTGACACAGTAGTCCAGGACTGCTCTTGTGTATTTCCCAAGCACACCTTTGCTTTCAGAAGGGCTGTGTGGGGAAGAGAATGGCAGTCATGGTGTCAGCAGTCCAAACCTTCAGGGCTGGCTAAAGATGAAGGGGAGGGCAGGCTCTAATTGCATGCTCATAACCTGGTCTGTCAGCCCAGGTGAAAACACTGCCTTAGGAGGTTTCCAAAATGTGATGGCTACGGTGTGCTAAATGAGCAGCAAAGTCTACTTGGGCTCCACACAATATCTGAGTGAGAGATGGGCAGCCAGCAGGGCTCTTTCTGCAGTTAGAGGGAGATTATCATACCAGGCTTTAGCGTAAGGTGCCACCACAGATGCTGTTTACTTAGATAAAGTCGAGATCTGCTGTTTAATCCAGCATTTGATGTAATATTGTTGTTTATTTTGGTAAGTTTTTCCATATGTGGTCGTTATACAGCTCTGCAAGAGGCTAAATACCTTCAGGCTGTGTATGTATGTGGATGCTGCTGCATGCTGAGTTAAGACGGCTGGGGTCTGGCAGGTCCAGCTGGTGCCTGATAGCTCCGGAGAGGCTCTGAGCACCAAGTGCAGCAAGTGGGGTAGCTGCAGCCTCATTACTGGACATCTGAGCAGGCAAGGCATGCCTTGCAAAGGAAGTTGGCCTGAGTACGTTTAAAAGCTGTTTTAAAAGAACTTTTTGATTTCCTGTAGGCAGCAATCTCAGTTCAGATGTTCCCGGTTTAAATGAATAAAAAATGCTGTAAGCTGCTGCTTTCTGCATGGTCAAAATACTGTTTTAAATGTCCTACTGATAAATGCCTGACTGCAAAGGTTGTGATAAGGCAGTCCAAGTGTGAAATGAGATGAATATTTGTATTCATAAGGCATGAGACAGATGTGTTAAAGACTTTAGGGAATCCCTTGTGCTTTTTAGAGGTAGCATACCCAACGTTAGGAGAATACTATTATGTATAGTAAAACTGCATTGGTCTGAAAGCACGGTATACCCTTGCCCAGATAGAGGTCTTGAAGTTGTTACGACCCTAATGTTATATGGATTATTTAGTACTTCAAACTGGGAAATTTGAGCTGAATTTGTTTTCAATCTGCTCGTACTCTTGCCTGACATCATGTGAACGTGTGCTGTAGAAGTTCTGCTCTGTGTTAAAGCTGGATTTAGCAACTGATGTTATACACATCTGGTAAATTTACTTCTGGTGAGGCATACCGAAAGGAGGGGCTGAAGGAATGACTCTTTCAGCATTGTTTTTGCTGCTTCCATGCAACAGTCCAGAGAATCTGCAGAACCAAGAGAAGTCAATGACAAAATGAGTGACCAGGACATTTCTTACAAGTCTCAGCTGTCAGACTCAACCTTCCCCCCATGTGCTGCAGTGCTGCATGGATATCATCTCTTCCTGCGGCCATCTACTTTCCTTTGTCTATAAATATTCTTATCTTGAGTTAAAGTAAATTCTAAACAAAACCTCAGAAAATTTACAAGAGAATAAAATTCCTTTAAGGAAAACTAATGCAATTCTGGAGGGTTTGATTTTTCAGCTGGTGTATGGTCATAGTTTCAGGAAAATGGATATCTAAGCTCAGCAATTTCTGAGCAACTGAGACTGAGCCTCTCAAGGCTGTTTGCTCCTGCAGAGCACAGTTGTATTCTAATTGGCCATACAGTTGTCTTCTGTAATTGCAGAGGCTGCAATGTTACAATTCATTATTATATAAAATCTTGTTTCCAACCAAAAGCCAAATATTGTGTGAACCTTATCAGCTCGCTAACAACCCCGGACCACATTTTAAATGAAAGATCCCATCCCACTCTTTGTCTTTGCCGTATAATAAGGCTTGTCAAAATATTAAGCTCTCTTGCTTTTAAATACGATGCCATTCCTGCCATGAATTAGCCATTTTGGTATAAAATATTTAAACCAATAGCTCTACCATGCTGTTCCGCTGATATAACTGCATTCATGTTACTATATTTACCAGCCTAAATGGATTAGAAAAACATCTCCCTTATCATCACAGTTATTCCACTAAGTATTTTTTCCTTTGGTCTAGAGACAGTAGCTCTTTGTTCTGCTCAGCTGGGCGTTGCAATGCACTAAGCCAGGAGGTTTTGCTGAAAAGGACAGCTTTCCCCAGCCTTGGCTCCCAGCAAGGCTCACCTTTGCCCTCCCTTGATGGGAGCTTTTGATGCTGTGTGCCATGACTCACTAGGAAAGAGGAAATAAGTGTGAATGCTCTCCGTTGCCAGCTGACTAATTGTTTTATGAACTTGTTCTCTTGTCTCTCTTCCCACTAGGCCAAGGCAAAATGGTTCTGACTCCAGCTTTGACAGGTTTACTTCTTCTCTCGAGTTAACTTTTATTTATATGCAGCCATTTCTTGCTACAATGAAGGGCTTTTCAGGTCCCATTTACTGTCACAGAAGCATGGAATCACAGAATGGCTTAGGTTGGAAGGGATCTTAAAGATCATCTAGTTCCAACCCCCATGCCATCATCATGCACTGAGAAATGCTACTTCTGGGAACGAAAGTCTAGCACTCACCTCTTCATCATCCCACAAGTCTGAGTTGGGCTGTTGCTTCTGTTTGGTTCTCTGTCATAGTAGTTCTCATATCCTATTGCACCTGCAATACGGCAAGAAAAAAAAGTGATGTTCAATCAGGCAAAACCTTTTTCTCTCAACCAGAGTACAGCCATCAGTATAGCAGTTCAGGAACTGCTGGAAGAAGCAGCAGCATAAGATCCATTTGCACTTGCCAGTAACGTGTTTGGAGCAGCTCAGGAGGATGTAGGTGCTTGACAAAAGCCATTCAAGTGATTGCATGTGGATGCACTCTTGGTAGAAAGGCGTTCTTAACCTGGCACAAGCACAGTCAAGGTCCTGAGGAACCACTGCAACAACAGTGAGTAACCCTAATTCAGAATGCAGTTTAGCACATGACTGTTTCCTCTGGTTTTTTATGAAGCCCAGACTTTATGGGTTGCAGAGCATGGTCACTGTGAGCCCATGACCGTGTTCCTGATACAGTTGGTGGCAGTGTATTTTTTTTTCCGTAACACATTGAGCTGAGTATTTCTGTTGGAGCTGGGCAAATTTCTGAATATCTCTGGGAGCAGCAATAGCAAGAAATTTCCTGGTCTATGCTTGTGCACGGCTTCATATCTTTTGTATCTTCACCTCCACCTCCTGAGAGCTGATTTGCTTTTTACTGCTGCTTACTACAGCGATAGTTTTTCTTGTCTTGAACACAGTTATGTTACAGTCCTTTCATTCTCCCCTATGGTGTGGTTGAGGGTGAAATTGAGCTTATTTACAAATCTAGCTTTCCAGATGAAATAGTTACAGATGGATTTATTTTTCATCTTATAGCTGCCAGTGCAGTTGCTTAGAGCTGGTGGTCAGGCACCCTTCCTGCCTTCTCAGTGTGAAAGCCAAACAAATACGAGTCAAATCTGATTTGGAAGCCCTGATAGCCTATTATCTCAGTTCTGATACCAGGTAATTAAATAAGATTTTGAACTTAGACTAAAGACTGTGTTGAAGTTTTCACATTGGATTAGCCAAGACCATAAACAGAGCAGGCACGTACAATAGTGAGTGCAAAGAACTCCTACAACAGAAGCTCACAGTATTAAAGGATTTTTATTTTTATTTTTTACCATTTTAAGAGTCTGCATTTCTTACCCTTCCAGATTTTCTCCTGCTGTAGTTTCTAGCCTGTAATTCGTGCCATGACTAAGTAGAAGAGAGAGCAACAGCATCATGAAACCTAAAGGTTTGGTCAGGATGAAGATCTACCTCTACACAATGCAAAACCACACGTGGATTTTTTCCCCCTGCACTTTGCAAATAATAAATGAGATGAACAGCTGAACAGTGCTACTGTGCAAACTCATTAGCAAGAGCTGTAGAGGTACTAGGGTGTTACTTCCAGAGCATGTCACCTTCTAGAAGGTGGCAAAAAAAACCTGAAACAGCAACAACAAAAAGAAGCCAAACCAAGAGTCAGTTGTTTCTTTGCATTTCATAAAGCTCTCAAGAGTTTCTCCCACCTATTTCTTATTAGAGATGAGTCCTGACATAGCCAAGAACTGTTTGCAGAAAATGACCGAGGTGACTGCAGAATGAGAAATCTCCCATGAGGAGGGGAGAGAGGGAGCCAGCCCAGCTGAGAATTACAATTCTTTGTATACAATTGCAAGGTGCATTTTCACTGACAGGAAACAGAACTGTAGTTTTTCCTAGATCAGTGCTCTTGTAGCACTCAAACTTCAATCCCCTATGAGAAGAGGAATAAACTGTAGCAGCAAAATGACATCCAAGCACAAGCATCAGTGTATTAGTTAAAAAAAAATAAAAAAAAATAAAATTCTCTAAGTCCTGATTCTTAATTGTCATGGGTGTAATGAGAAAAGGCTAAGCAGTAAACAAGCCTTAAGTAGCTCAGTGCTGGATTACTAGCAGCATCCAGTCCTGCTGAAGAAGTTGCCAGTCTGCTACTGCTGCCAGATCTGGGCTCTAAGCTGCTCCTGTCAAGATTATGCCATGGGACAGGGCACTTGTACTACTGATGTTTGCACCTATAAGATCCCTAGCACGGAAGGCTTTTGTCAAGATACAATTTTCTTATAGCAGTATGGCTTATTCTGTGTTCTGAATGGAAGTAAGCTCTCTTGTGACTCCTGAGTCAACACTGAGGGGGTTCCTCTTTGGCGTCTCAGAATAGCGTTACAGCAGATTGCATACGTCTGCAGTCTGTGTACACAGATCAAAAAAACAAAGAAATGGAGGAAGAGATCTTTTCAGAATAGAGATCTATCATCAGCTGATGATGAGATGAAATAGGGAATTTTCTGTTCTTTTACAAAGGCTGTGAATCTTTGTTTGCTGCAGGCAGTGCAGGCATTCACTCAGTCTGTAAATATCTGATACTGCTTGTTGAAGTAAGAAGGTGTGGTTTGTATTTGGTCACTGGAATGTAAAATGACCTAATTTCTGATGATGTGTTTGGAGAACTCCTATCCTGGAGCAGCAGGTTTTCAATCTACTACTGCTGTTAGTTCTTCCTGTCCTATTCTCCATTTCAGCTCAGAGATTTTGATCAGTAAAGTTGATGAAGAGGCTTCTTGTGGGTTGAGTGGACAGTCTGTGCACTTTACATCACTACTGCATACTAGGACAAAGCCGATTTCATTCAAAATTTTCCCCAGTTGGGGTCGTGTCCATATGCAAACAACTTGTTAAGAGAAGAAAGCGTCATTCCCACCATGGGTGAATGGGTGGTGGGAGCAGAGAATCCTTCCTTTGGCTTTCCCAGTGGAGTGGGCTGCCCAAACACAGGCACAGGCTCATCAGCTAAGACCAAAAGGAATAATTACCTGGAGGTTGTGTTCCTGTCATTTTACTCTTAATGAAGTAGTCTATGTCTGACTCTACGACGCAGTCCTCCAAGCTTACCCGAACCTCTTCATACAGCTACAAAACAGAATTCAAGAATTTAATATTTCAGCTTTCATGTTGAATTAGCTTTTTGATGTTCTTCTAATGCTTTTTCTCTTTAAAACCACTGCAATTGGTACACGTCTGTCCCCCATGCAGACATTCTTGTAAACGCATCTGTTATTTGTGTTCTGGGTATCTTTTCATGAGAGGAGGAATGAGACAGTCCAGGGCTTTTCAATGCAACCGACATATTTATATAGCAAGAGCCAGCCAGTGAAAGTTAAAACTCAGGCATACTGGAATGAGGAATGTGACCCACATTTTTTTTTTTAGGATGTGATCCACAAACCTTCAAATAGGTGGAAAAAATTGAAGGAAAAAGCAAAAGGCCGTTATGGAGTGGTGTATGTTTCATGTCTTCCTGCTCTGAGACTGTAACTGCCTGCCTTTCTGAAGGACGTGCCTAAGCACTCCTACTCAGCTGAGCAATCTGGTATTTGGAGGCACTACCCAACAAAAGAAGGAGGGCAGACATAGTGTTCATCACACATGCCACACATTATCTAAACCCATGTATCTGTTTTGCATCTGGGGAAGAAGGAAGGAGAATGATTGAGAGGACTTCATGGAACATGCCAGAGCTGCACAACAGCCAGTTTGATTGCACATGCAGAGAAGGCCAGGCTAGTGCTGTGCTTCCAAAGGGCTCCTGCAGTTTGTCTTTTGCACGTGGAGCTCCCTGATTTTGGCCCCTACCTCATCATCCTTCACACACTGCATAGAGAGCTGGTTGCAGTGAACCCACAGCGAGTTCCGGAGGATGGTGATGCGGTCACACTCCTGGAGCTGGAAAACCTGAAGCCAAAGAGATGTGAAGTAGTGCCATGTTAGTTGTATTGCAATGTAGCAGATTGCTGTCATGAGGGGTTGTATTTGTGCTAAAGGGAAAGCCAGAAATATCCATCTCTGCCTTCTAAAGTATCTTTCCAGACTTCCTCTTTGGAACTATTTGAGGCTCTCTGAGTTTGCATTTGCTCATTTCTAAGGTTGTTTTCAGGGTAAGATAAGGTGTTTTTGTGTGTGTTTTTTTTTTGTTGGTTTTCTTTTTGTCTCTCTACTCTCTCCCTCATCTGTCTAATTCATTAATGTTGTACAGCTTACTGGATTTGCGGAGAGTGAAAGGGGGAAAACAGGATAAATATGTATTGAGGTGGTGGAAGAAGCAGATAAACTATCTCTGAAAGCTTTAGAAATTGGGTTCTGTTGTTTTATGTTCCAGTGTTAGAAGTAGAACATCGGTTTTTTGTTTTCTATGAGGTGTGAAAAGCTCAGATGCTTCCAGCCATCTGCTTGCATCTCCATTTGCTAGTAATTATGTCCAGAACACCACAAATGTATACAGTATTCAGCAGAATACTTGGGTGTGCTGCCTGCCATCGAATATCTTACTTAAAGATAAAAAGAGTCAATCGAGGGAGAACCAGCTGGTGTTGGGATCAGTTTCTGAGAGAAACAGCTTATTAAGAGAACCTGCAGGGTAGGGAAATTAGTAGTTTGCTGTCCATGCAGAATAAAAAGCCTATGGACACAGCCTACCCCCAGGGGCTGTTCAACTGGGAACTTACCAAGCAAATGATGCCCTTGCAGGAAATGCAGCTCATCAAAGACAGAAACAGAGCGACCTGGGGTTTGTCAAACCCTTTGCATGTTGCAGCTGCATGCTGTGATAGGCACATCTCTCATGCCATCAGCTTGTGCGACTGGCCCGCTTGTGAGCCCAGGCTGCTTGTGCCAAGGAGCACAGCCCAGCCTCACAATGAAGCTTGTCTCAGTGCTTGTACTTGCTAGCTAGGATTTTCAGGCTGTGGATGTCCCATGCTTAGCCACAGACCTTAACACTTCTAGCTTTTGTGCTGTGCAGCCAGAAGTTTGGGATCTTAAGCGGATTTGTTTCGATCAGTGAGCAGTTTAAAAGGTCTCACGAAATCTGCTCCTTCTACCTGCAAGCACTTCTTCAAGGAGGAGTTAGAAGTGCCATTCCTTCATGAGTGGCTGTCGGAGCTAAGCAGTGGGCAGGCCGCAAGCTCTGTGGGCTACAATGAATTTAGCCGTGTGGGAGAAAGTCTTCCAAGTCGTGGAAAGTTTTGCTTGTTTACTGGCTTATTAAGAAGGGGAAATTGTGCATCTTGGGAAAATTAAGGCTTGGCAAAGTTTCCATAGAAAGTTTGCAGTGGCAGCCATGGGACTTTCCCAGTGTTCCCAGGTAGGGAATTTAAGAGGAAGCAGAGAACCAGAAAGCTATTTTATGTAGGAGTAAAACTGGAAAGAAGTAAACATAGCAAAACTGTACTTCAGCAGATGGACAATGTACCTGAAGGATCATTATAACCAAGTGTGTGTCTGATCTGGATGTCAACCAGATGTGAGCTGGCGTGCAAACCTTAGAAACCAAGAGCAAATCTCCTTGTCCATAGCAGAAACAAACCTCCCCCAGCCACTATCCTTCAATGGAAGAGATTAGTCCTCGGCAGGGAGCGAATGTTCTTGCAGATGAAGGTAACATGCTATGTGAAATGTACAGGCTACCTTGTTTGCACTACAGTGATGCTACCATGCTTTTTTGCTTAGTGTGAAAACTTTCTTTTTAATCTGCATTGAACTTGTGATATTTAACAAGCAAAAATCAAACAAGCAAAAGCTGTCCTGCAAGAAACCATTCTGAAAACTTCCTGCAAGACATAATTCGGAGGGAATGTTTGTTTTTAATGGGCTGATTTAGCACTTCTTGTTTCCATTCTGAAATTCATCTTTTAAAAGAAGTGAATTTTCATGTGTTCCTGTTAATCTTCTACTGAAACTACATTCTGACAAAAAGCAGTTGCAAAACAATCTTGGCTATGATAGAGCATCATCATTAGAGCTAGTGTCTAAAGTTCCATTATAGGTGAAAAGTGGCAAGAAATGCAAGGTTGTACAAGTTCATATATTGCTCCTTGCCTCAATCCTCTGCACTTATTCCCTTCCTGTATATTTACTTACACACACTGAACAAACAAGAAACATGGAAGTAACTACGTCTGAATCTGTTCTAGATTCTGTAGTGCAAAGACTCAGTGTAAAGCAAACAGCAAAGCCCTTGAGATAATATTTGAGGACCCAGATGGGTATCTGTAAGTAGGATAAAACAAAGAGCACGCAAATATATTGCTGTAAAGGTCAGTGTTTACCTCACAGGTTTTAATATGTTCCTGTTCCCACTCTGTCCTGGCCTTATCCAGCTGCTCAATGTTCTGTCTGTACACATTCTCTGTAAATACAGACACACACAATAGAAACCCAACAGTTAGGCGAGAAAAATGATAGTCTTCCTCTTTTTCCTCCCATTAGGATTTTCCTGTGGCTCTTACTCTGTCAAACCCCAGGCCTGAAATAAGTCATGAGAATGTGTGAGCTTGAAACTGATAGTCAGCAAGTGTGCATGTGTATATACACACATATATATGGGGAGGGGGAAGGGGAATTATGTGAGATCCCACGAGTCCAGGCCATGCCCATCCTTTGACTCAGCCAGTCAGGTAAGCCATGCAATGTAGTAAACTTCAGTATGAGCAGTGAGTGCCAAGGCTGAGTTCATGAACCAGCGCAGAGGTTTGCCAGCGTTGTCCTTTTGGACAAAGCACATCGAGTGTGTTTCTGGCTGACGGATGTACCCTTGCTGCTGTGCTCATGTGCAGGGAACCCAGGGACTGTGTATCTGGTTTAGGTTGGCTTGGGACAATGAGCGTCACTGTGCTTTCAAACTTGCTTTGAGAAGAGTTTTTTTTCCTGAGTGAAGTCCTTAAAGATGGTCTGCTGTAAAATCTTTAATGACAGCACGAGACTTGCATGTCCACAAGTGAAATTAAGTGTAGCTTTCAGGCTTGCTTTTCTCTTCACCATGGTGTCTTTGGGTAGATGACATCAGGAAACCTGACTTCAAATAGGGCTAGCAACACTTGATTTGATCGATGCTATCAAAATTAGCATGCTGGTTGATCTTTGCTGAGAAAAAAATCAGTTCTATTACAAATAGAGTATCACCTGCTTCATGTGCTGCATCTCTGCATTGCTTGGCTTTGTTCTGACTCTGAAACAGGAAAAGAAAGAAACACTTCAAATTAATTTCCTGCATGTTTTGCTCCTGGCACAGTGTTCTGCTGCCTTCTTCCCTTTCCTCTTACAGGGTTAAGGCTCCAAGTGCAAACGGTTCTTGGCTGCTCCACCTTTATAATCATAGAATCATTCATGTTGGAAAAGACCTTTAAGATCATCTAGTCCAACCATCTGCTCTGTTGAGCATGTGCTATGGAGAAGGAGGGAGCAGAATTTCACAGGTGTAGACATAAGTCCACTGCCTGCAGTGGCAGCTTATATCATCCTATCCGGGGATCCCTGCTGTAGGAGCACACTGCTAGCATGCTGCAGCCTGAACTTTGTGTCTGCTCTCCAGGTTATTTTCTAGAGTGTCCAAAGTGCTTTTCCAATAGGTATTTACAAGCAGAAATGTCAGTTAAAAATATTCGTCTTCCAAGCTCCTCATGCAATGCATATATGACAAGAATACAGCCTTTAAAATACTTTGCAAATGCCAGACTATTTCCCATAACAACTCAGAAGGCTAAAAGCTAAATTCACTCTGAGCAGGGTTTTTGGGGTTTTCTTTTTTTTCAATCTGCAGCTTCTACAAATGAAAATAAGCACGTTATTGACAGCTCTGTACTCCCAGGTCTTTCTGCACAGATGGTGATGACAGTACATTAATGCACAGCTCTAGAAATCAGTATCACACATTCTTCCCTTCTGCCCTTCAAAGCACTGCTCAGGTAGGGGTTCTCATGACCATATTCCTCCTCACAGCTGGCTGGAAAATGTGTGGTAAACTGGAAACATCAGCTTCATTCTTATTTTCTTCCTGGCCCAAATTGTTTGCAAGTGCTGAGTAGAATTAAACAGCTGGCATTTCTTGTGAGGTGCCTCTGTGCATTTCAATTGTGCTGGCGTTTGTGTGGAAATAATGGCAAGGAAGTACCCTGGGATTCCTCTGCATGAAAGGACCTGGGTCAGATTTTGATACCACTGAAGTTACTGAGAGTTCTGGTGTGATTTCAGTAGGGCCAGGATTTCATCCCCCCCCTCTTTATGGCAAAGCTGGACGGTTTAATTCATCAAAGATTAGGGAGCGAGAGAAATAAAATGTAAACTTCTGATGCTGTTTTCAGAGTCTCCTTCCTCCTGCTCCTCGAGATGATTTTTGATCCTTTTTGCTTACACTGCACTTATTTTATCGAGCCAAAGGGAGTTCATTTATTTTGTTTTCTCCATCTGTTCCACTGTAAAATGTTCCCATTAAAAGTTAGCAAATTGTCAGCAACAAGTATCAGAAGATGCAATGAAGGACAGCAGTGCCTTAATTTCCAATGATTTATTTTTGAGTTTGTAAATTTAGATGAAATTAAACTAAGCGTAAGGACAAAAAATGTAGAGAAAAAGATGCATTCTAATGTAAGATACTATGCCTACTAAATGTAAGCAACCAAAAGGCAAAGCTAGCTGCGTGGCATACATCTGACTCGCTTCTTTCTCATGAATGATTTTGGAGAAAAATCTCATTCGGATTGCTTTCATGATTTGTAAAGCAAATAGGTCATAGCCTGGGATAAAGAAAACTAATGGGTTAACTCGGTCCCTCCCTTGGCCCACCACAGGACAAGATCAGGGATGGCAAGTCCAACTGAGTGCTTTGTGAAGGAAGGCCTCCTTGGGAAAGTGCTTCTTCCCATTTTGATTCTAAGGAGTTAATTAGAAGGGAAAGCAACCCCTGGCATCTTGTGGAATGGGCTGTTCAATTGTGTTCTGTTGAACCTGGGAAAAGGAAAAACAGCTTTCTCCCTTTTAAGCATCTGCTGAATAGGTCTGTCTGTCTCAGGTACCTTTTCTGCTTGCTTCTGGTTGCCTGAAGCGCTCATGCGTTCAAAGGACTGCTCGGCCTCATCCGCCTCCTTGCACTTCTGTTCGTAGCTCTTCTTTGACTGTATCCAATTGAAATGAAATCACATGTGAGGCTTTGGGTTAGGGAAAAGGCTGGGCTGTCTCAAAGCTCCTACAAACTGGAGTTGCTCATCTGGGGGAACCAATCAGCACCCAAGTTTTGGCCAAGGAGAGAATTCCCTGTGATGCCAGGAGGAGATGCTTATTAAAAATAGCACTGAAAAGTTGTAGCAGAGAGGCTAGTGGTGGGAATCAGACCCCCTTCTTACAGCCCTGAATTTCTTTGCTCCGTGTCAGTGCTGCCAGCTCCCTGCCCAGGTGGTCACTGCCATGGGTGCTCTGCACAGATGCAGCTCAGGCACTGTCGGTGCATCCAGTGCAGAGGGACCAAGTTGCAGCTAATGTGCCAGTGAGGATGAGCTGTCATTTCCACAGCGTGACTTGGATTGCCAGGTGGCTGACCCAGCACTCCGAGCTGTGAGACAGAACCAACCACACATAGGCAGCAATCTCAGTAGAGTTTTCAGAAGCAAAAGGTATTTTTATGTGCACCAGAAGAACTCCCTGTCTTAGAGCTTCGCTTAGAATGATGCTGCATGTAAACTAAAATACTTAGTACAATTCCAGCTGTAGCACTGGCAGGTCTGCAACTGCTCTTTTTCAGAGGCAGTTGCCCATCGGAAACCAAACCCAGCTGTTGCAGTTCCTGTACCTGCAAAACTCCCTGCTGGAAAGGTTTCCTTCTGCTTTACAAGGCTCAATTTTTTTTCAAGTTATTTTCATAGGCAGGAAAATGAGGTTTTCTCCTATAATTATCCTTGTCTAGAAAGAATCAAATCCAATCTGAACTGTTTCGGTTGATGCTGATTCCACATTTAGCTTTCTGAGTGTTCTAGGAGACTTCAGTGGGGGATGCAAGGAAGATTAGCTCCCTCCTGCCAGGAATCCCATCCTGTCTTACACACACATACACTCCTATGCCAACAGAACACACACACACACACTGCTGATCTTTTTTCATGTGATACAGTCTCAAGGTGGAGTGAGTTTACAGAAAACCTCCTTGCTTACCTCCATTGCTTTCTTATAATGGGACAACTTGTTCTTTTGCATGCGCTCCATTGCAGACTCGTACTGTAAGAAACACACAGGAGTGTGAGCATTTCTTTGGACTTTCCCCCTTGCCTGCTGGTAGGTTCAGGCAAGGCATTGGCAGTGTCTCTCTACAAGCCACGTGCCTGTGCAAAAAATGACTTCACTCTGCTTTTGCAACTGACAGGCTTCTCAGTGACACAGAGAGCATCAGGTAAAAAAAATAATAATAATCCAAGATAATTCTACTTCAGTGCTTTCCATTAATAGCAGAGAGGATGTAGGTCTTCATTTTCTCCCTCCCTCACCCTTCCTTTTTTTTTTTTTTTTTTTTTAACCTTAAGGAGATTAATAGTGTAACACCCATCAGTGCCTATCAGCTCTGCTAGCAGAGCTTATTGCTGGTCCAAGAGCTCGATCTCACATCTTTACAGACCAAACCACAGTCTCGCCCATGTGACCAGGAGTAATTGTCCATTGTGAACTCAAACGGCTCCTGTGTAATTTATATTTCATTGCTTCTGGCAAATTTATGCTCTGTGCCATTTGATTTCCACAACATAATCTGGTCAGCATTGGAAAGACGGTGCTGGATTTTCTTTTATAGCTTTAATTCTGTTATGCCCAGCCTTGTGTGACCACGAGATATGCTCCTATTTGGCAGGGCATGGGTTTCTTCAGTGGGACTTCTGGTCCTTTGATCTGCTCAAGCAAAACTCCCTCTGGGGTCACCCAGAAGCGTGCTTGACATCAGGCTCATAGCACAGTCCCAATGGCAGCTGCAGCAGATCCAGCACAAACACACAACAGTGCTATGTGAGATCTCCAAAAATGCTGACACCTTCCAGTATGTCTGAGGTTGGCTTCCTCACAGCCACGTGCTGAAGGAGAAAACATCTTACAATGGGTCTCAAGACTCCAAAGGAGTTTTGAGTATTTTTCCAAGCCCCTATAACAGTTTCCATTTGGGTTCCAAGCTTACTGTTTTCAGCAGGAAAAAGCCTCCCTCTTTGCAGATCCTAGTGATGAGATAGGGATGAGGAAGACAAACTCTGGGTGCACGCTGTCTTTGCCTGTGTGATTTGCTGTGCACATCAAATCTAGCACTGGTTTTACCCCCTGATATTCAGAGTTCTGTGCTGCTCCAAGCTCCTGTGTGTCTGGGTTGTGGACATGAGAATGTTGCTGTATTGGACGTTGCTCGTACACATTTACCTTTACTTAACATTGTCCAAGGTCAGGGTATTTGATTATACTGTTCCCTCAATCACTGTTTTCAGTGATGTCAGCTCTTTGTCTTCAAGCCCATGGAACCAGAGGTGTAAGAGTGACCACTTGTCTCCATTGAGAGCTTTTTTTGTTTTTCCTGGGGATTTGGAGATAATGAGACCACAGAGCATGAGATAGCTTTGAATGTTCTCTGAACTTTACTGCACAGCATCAACTTGATGCTATTCTAAGTATTTGGCGTATGTTCTGCATTCTGCTTAACAATCATTTTCCTCCTATGATTTTAGATGCATATGTTATCTCTTTATTTTAGTGCATGTTAGAGATCATGCAGGATCATGCCAAAGCAATGCAATTAGCAAGGATATAAAAAAGAGTAAAGGATGGATTAAGTTCTTACATGAATAAGAATAGCATCAGCAGTTACAGCAGAGGCAGTAAAAGTGACTAAAGCCTCTGTCTCCGGAGTTCAGAGCATTACTTAATTTCCAGCTGAGATTAGAAAGAGGCTTTCTTGCACAGTCTAGTGTGTGGAGAGAGAAGGGTAACTGGGCACATTCCATTATCTTTTGCAGTATTCACAGCCTATGGCTGAAGATGGGCCGTCAGAATGGACCGCTGACCCAACCTGTATCAAAGATTGGCTGGTTCCTCACCTTTTTCCTTTGTTCCTTCTGCCTTTCTCGGAACTCCTCTATTCCTTTCAGTTCATCCTTCAGCATTCCTGCCAGCTGGATATGAGAGTTTCCAACGCTTTCAATTTCTAAAGCAGATCAGAATTCATGTGCAGTCAGTGGAAAGAGGTGAAGTCACATTTTTCAGGAGATATTTCTAAGATCTGGCTGCTGCATACAGCTTGCTCCAAACAGAGCAACCTTCAGCAAAGAAGTACATGTAGACACATGAGGGGTTTGACATTGCTGAGGGTGCTCACAGCCTGAATTGGGCCTACTGCAGGTCCTTTCAGTGCTCACAAGTGATGTGGGCAAGACCCCTTGCTGCAGAATTGGAGCACCTGCTCGGAGCTGTTTTAGCAAGTGTAGGATCTCCCTGCGTTTCTTTCTGGCCCCATTTATTCCAGCCACAGGTGTTGTGGTGGTGGGGGAGGACCTCCATTGTCCCTCTGGTGTCTGCCTTCCCTCCACTACATTCTCTCTGCTTATGGGAGCTGCTTGCCACTTGCCCCAGCACAAATGTCAGCAGGGGAGCTTGCAAGCTGAGAATTTCCAAGGGTCAGCTAAGCTGGATTGCATTTCAGACCATCTGACTGATGCTGTTTGAAGTGGCTGGCAGCTTCTCTGCGTTTGTCAGCTTTGGTGGCTCTGAAATGAAGCCCTGCACTTTCCAAAACCGTTGAGCTTCCCCCTTCCAGGCTCTAAAAGTACCTTAATTCACCAGCTGCTTCTGAAAGAGTGCTTTTGTTATCTGAACAGCAGGCACCAACACCCAGATAACGCTGTCCTATTGGCTATGACAGTGTGAAAGATTTTAACTCTGCCCTGGGCGCTTTTAGAAAGCATCCTATGGATGCATGTGGATGTTAGTGTCTTGTAGAAGAGGGAACAGAGCTGGTATTTTGCAGCTTGATCTGGAGAAAAATAACTTGAGGAGAAAGCCATTTTCTGTGCCTCTGGGGGCTGCGTTCAGTGCCCAGACTTGGAGGATGACATGAGTGAGTGAGTGAATGTGCTTTGCCCCCCACGCTCCACGCTCGGTAGAGGAACAGACTGAGGTGGAAAGGTTAACGGTATAAGAGGGAGAGGATGAAAGAGCCCAGAGGGTGCCAACACAGTGTGCCTGCCTGAACCTGGGTCACAAAGCAAGATACAAATACTTACGTTGCTTGAGCTTCTCAAATGCTGCCTTCAGTGTGCTGGGAGATAAAAACAAGAGCGCTTCATTAGCACAGGCTTCTAAGGATGAGTTGGGAATCTAGAGGCAAAACTTTCCCTCAGCCAAAAGATCCACATAGAAATAAAGCTCTTAATAGCCTTGCAATAAAAACTGACCATGCTAAGAGACGAAAAAACATCAACCTGTTACCCTATGAAATGCAATAAAATGCTCCACGAAGCAAGGAATTGCAGAACTCCTTACGCTCACCCTCTTTTTTTTAATCAGTATTTGTAACTGTGAACGTTCTGTTCTTCCACATTACCAATGTGTGCAAGTCAAGTGAATGAAATAAAGGCAGTCAAGGGAAATTGGGCTTCGGAGCACTAGAATGCAGAGAAAGCAACCCCACCCTTCGTGGTAAGTGCAGCACCTTCCTCCTTGCTCACCCTTGCAGCTGGAGCAGCAGCCTCCCTGCTGTGCTTTCTTAGCACCCCCGCGTGGTGCAGCTCCTCGCCTTTAGGAGATGCAGCACAGAGAGCCGAGGGAGCTGATGTTCCCAGCGTGAACGTGCCGTGCTGTGAAATCAGCCCTCGGCACCGGGCTGTGATGTACAGCCTGGAGAGGAGCAAACACTGATGCGATGCTGCTCACCTGGATGGAGGTGCACAGCTAAGGCAGCATAGTGTTGCAGGAGGACGTGAAGGGGTGATTATAGTTCTCTCGTTGTCCTGGCTTTTTGCAATCCAAAGCCCTTTTTAAGGAGGCAGCATGAAGATCGGCAGAGGGGCAATGAGAAAGGAAAGAGCACCGTTTGTGAGTCACCTTCAGTGTAATGATGAGCTCTAGATCCTGGCTGGTAGGCTGGAAGGGTGTCTTCATGCACAGAAGCCAGTATTACACTGTGATTTGGAGGTTTTTCAGACTCAGAAACCACCTCCTCAGGCCCCAGGCTATATGGTTCCCTGAGGGAAAATGTTCTGCAGAGAGTCTCTGACTTCCTCAGGTGAGAGCCTGGGCAAAAACCCTCCAAGATCTCCTTGGCTGAACCACAGCTATTAGGAGAGTCCAGAAGAGGATGCGTGTGTCTTCTTAGCCATGTGCAGATGGGCAGGGAAATCCTGCATCTCTTGGCATGCTCCAGGAGATTTAAGAGACACGTGGAGGATATGAATAGGTTAATTTAAGATGGGCATCTTTTTCCTAACCATAGCCTGCAATACCACGTGGCCAGGCATAAGTAAAGTGCTCAGGTGATGGGAAAGGATGGATCTGTCCTCAGCAGTAACTGCCCTGCGATCCACTTCCAAATCTTTGCTTTTAACAAGTAAACACGAGTATTCATCTACTTGTTGAGCTCCTGCAGCATCCTCTCAAGGACATATGTATGATAAAATCAATCTGTTTGTGACAGTAGTTATCCCAATAATATTTAATCATTTTGAAGTTTCGCTCACCTTTCCTTCTGTACCCTGGTTTGCATAAAATGAATCTAGCGTGGGACTTGAAACAATTTTCTCAACATAAAGGGGAAATAAAGGATTTATTCCAAATCCTTTAATTAAAAGGTCTAGATCAAGTAACAAGTTGGATATCAGCAGCTGAATTAGCTTTTTTTCCCTACTTACAACCTCCAATGGATCATTTTGAAAAATTAAATGTACACATGAAATAAAATTAGCTTTAAATGTGGACTTTCCAGTGGAAGGTGGAGAACGTGCTAGCAGCATCATCCCAGAAATGAGTAAATACTGAAATTGTAAGAACAGGGGACACTTGCAAACCACACGTACTAATTTATGTGCTGTGTTCATCTGTTTTTCCCAGAGATCTTTTCATCAGCGTTGGTGATTCAGGTTTTATACCAAGACTGACAGAGTTGCTGTAATGCATACTGAAAAACAACTCATCCTCAGTACACATCAAGGACAAAAGCAGTTTGTTGCTTTTCTGTCGTTGTTTCCAGGCATAAGAGCTACCAGAGTAGTCAGTGATATTAAGCTATACATATAAGCTTTTCTTATTTTTGCTGGCTCTCTGTAAGCATTAATCTGTCTTCTGGGACAATAATGCATCTGGCTATGAGCCAGAGAGATACCTGCCTCATGCACAGTATTTAATTGCTAATTCAGAAAGCTCTGGTCTCTTGCTCCTGCTCTGAGATCCAGCCAGTTCCCCAGCTGCTGCTTAGGCTAAGGCCATAGTCAGCAGGTAGATTGGAATAGACTCAAGCCATTTCCTTCCTTATTTTTATATTTTTTTTCTGAGATCAATCAATCAGATCCCTTATCCTTATGGGGCCTGAAGGGGTAGCAGATATGTCACTGAGCCTAGTTATGTCTGCAGGAAGGTAAGTAAATCACATCTTGACCCACAGAACCAGCAGGTACTCCTTTATGACTCCTTTATGGGCTGCAGGGAAGCCAGCCCATATGTGCTGGCTGCAGCAGCAGTTCTGTAGGTGAGCTTTTGCTGCTAGGTGCTCTGATTGTATCAGTGAAATATATCATTTCAGTGCTTTGAGGGGTTTATGGCAGCACCTTGTGTAGCAGAAATACATGAGAATTTTAATTTAGATGGCCCTCCTGTGTATATAGTATATATACACAGTGTATATATACTACTTATTACCCATCCCATCTGTGTTGGTGTGACGTTTGTATAAGATTGGGAAAGGCTTTATTCCAAAGCATTGAAAATGAAGGTATGTCACTCTTAGGGATACTTGTTCACAGTCTCTTGTCCTTCCAGGATATGATCCTGCTCAGCACTGTGGCAGTCTGTTGTAGCACCTCTCTGGCCAGCTTGGAAAGCCTAGGGGTTGAAAATAATTCGAGAAAAGCTGCAGTTTGCCTCTTCTCCTCTTTCTTAAATTCCTCACTTCTGGTGTTTCTGTGGCAATTCCAAGCACTTCAGCTACGGACAACACAGTCTTTGCTTTGGGCATCCCTGCATGTGGGCTCCTGCAGGTGTCACAGTTACACGAATTCATCGTGCATGTTTGTTAAGGCTTCCCCTCAAATGTTTAAAGGCTGCATTTGTTAAAACGAGTTTCAGATACAGACAGGATTGCCCCTGAATCTGCAATGATGGGGAACAGCCAGATCCAGAGCAGCAGCCAGTCTGCAGCAACTCCTGGTGATTTTTGCCATCTAGCGGCTGAAACGTTCTTCGTTTGCTGCAGGATCTCCTTACTCAACTGCAGAGGAATGGAGATGCTGTTGTAAAATAGGCGCTTTTTGGTGCTTGTTTTTTCAAGCGGAGAGGGAGGAGGAGGCTGGCAGGGTTTTCGAAGGAGCTGGGCAGTACAGAGAGTAGAAACTCGCTACAAGCACCTCGTTGTTTTACTATTCTTGCTCCGTAGATTTCAAAACACTTTCCAAAGTGGACTTCCCAAATCTACCTGGCAACCCAGGCTCTCTTAGGCACCGACCACAAGGACCTGTGGAATAGGACGCTGGGGCTGCCAGGCAGTGTGCTGCAATGGGGCTCTGCTGCCTTCTTCACGGCCATGAGAGGCTGAATTGATGGCACCAGAGGCGCAGGTAGCTGAGCTCTCGTGATGTTGCTCTGCACACAGATATGCTCACTATGTACACTGTTGCACTGCTTTTTGGTGCCACTGCAGGCTCGATGGTTTGGGTGGGTTTTTCCTGTATTTGCCTCCTCCCTCAAATGCAGACTGTTCTGAGTAATTCATAGAGCCCCTTTACGTTTTGACACAGGAAGGCTCTTCTAACCGGAAAACCACAGCTCTTTTTAAATTTCCTTTCTTTTTCTTTTTTTCTTTTTTAGTCTCTGCTTGGTGAATAGAAGTGGAAAATAACTCCACCTTCCTTTAAAACAAGATCGTCTTCTTTTCTGTAAGGTTTCATTTCTATGCTGCTCTGTTCTTAGGGTAACATTTTTAACATTCTTTCTGAAGCTGGGAGAAGCCTCTGCCCACTGAAGTTCCCAGAGCAGTTTCCAGCAGTCCTGTTCCAGCTCTGCCACTGGTAGCTTAGCTTAGTTTCTGATAAAGAGTTTCTGAAGCCAACGTGCTGCCAGTCCCATTGAGACCACAGTTAACATCTCTACTTCCTCCTGCCACATAGGGTAGACCCAGTGTGCCATTATTGACACTTCTTTCTGTGGTAGCAAGGTGTGGAGAAACAAATGCAGAAGCATCTGCTCTCTATTGCTTTGCACTCAGACTCTCTGCACTGGGTGTACGTGCAGAGGGTGGCAGTTTGCTTGCAGGCAAGAAGATAACTCCCTCCCACATCCTAGGCAGGCACGTAGCAGAGTACTGCACACAAGGACCCTGTCTGACATCATTTAGTGGAGATGTAGTGCAAGCAAGGAACTCATTTTTGCCTTGGTGTTTGCTTGTTCTCTGAGGATTAACGAGCAGAAATGCAAAGCCACCCAGAGCAACTGGAAAGACTTGTGTGCAGGTCAGCTGGGTGTGAAGGCTAAGCCACCTGTGCAGGAGGAAAGGTACAGGCAGCACTTTGCTCTGTCCTCTGCAGTCCAGGAGTCAGTCTGTCTGAATTAGTACTGTGAGTCATGCCAGCCACCGTGCAGCAGGCTGAGCTCTGTGTTGGCTTGGATGGAGCTTATCTTTTGTGAAAACAGCACCAAACACTCTAGTCCTGCAGTGTCTGTGTGCATGTTTTGCACTTGCTACTTACTTGAGTACTTTCACATGAGTGTCAGAAAGAGAAGCAGCCTCAAGCTGACTGGAAATGGGGTTGCATCATTCCCAGGGTTGGCCTCTGCACTAATCGTACCAGACTTTGCTGGGACAAGGGAGCAAACCAGAACCCTTATAAATCCAGGGTTATCTATCAGGCATTTAAACTGATGGATTAAAAACATCGAAACAACTTAGGTACTTTAACATAGAACTAAATTTCCTCATCTCCTGGGAAGAGAACAGTGCAGCACTTGTCCTGGACACTGGTGAACTTATCTAGCCTGGGTTTAATAAGAACTGAGCAGAGGTTTAGGTCTTTCGTGTAGATGCTTGAATTTGTTTTCGCAGCATCCTGAAAGCTCAAAACACACGTGAGTGTATAAACCCTGTACAGCTTCAAAACATTCAATTGGAAAGTATCTAACAACAGAAGAGTGTGACCTTCCAAAATGATTTTTAGCCTCGGTTCAGAAATGCTTGCTTTGTGAGAACAGTACAGATGTTTCTGTGTATTACATGACAGACAGCCTACATTTGTACACAGGAAGCAGCAGCCTGGCATTTTGTTACAGATGCCCTCACCTTGTGTTCTCTGAAACTGCAGAGAAGGGCAGAGCAGGAACAAGCTTGAAGGAACTGCCCTTTCCCAGGGTCTGAAGGAGATGTTAGTGGAAAAGAAGGAAAGAAAAGCAGAGGGATTCATATACATAAGAAGAGACAAGCAGGGCAAATGACAAATATAGCTGTTGTCAGACTGGGCAGAATTTAACCAGCTCCTGCATGTTTACATCAGTTGCTTTACAGAGGAGACGAGTTCCCAGAGGCTCTGTTTCAGCTGAAGCAGAGGACGTGCCTGAAAACTGGGCTCTGTAGTATATTTTTTATCATATTTTTCTGCTGAAGAGTTGCCCAAAGCTGTTGCACAGAAATTCCCAGTCACCTTGCAGGATATTTCCTCTCAAAGCGTGAGCTCTGCTGAGAGTTATCTATTGTGTGTCAAAACATTGCAGATTTGGTCCCTGTTTATAACTTAGCTGAAAATCCCACTTTCTGTGCATCCTGTCCCATGTGTGCAGCACAGGATATGGAGGCTACAGAAATATATGGCAGTTTAAGCATTGTAAAGTGTAGGTCCCTCTCCTTCATTGGCAATGGGTGTAACCTGGCCTTTGCTGAGAAAGTAGGGCGGTAGCTTTTTAATCATCCTTTTCATAGTTTGTTTAATAATTAGAGACTAGGAAATACTGATTCATGTATGTGTATGTGTCTCTATATACAAGCTAAAAAAGTGGGTTAACAGGGCTTTAAACTTAACAACAAGTGGAAATGAAGACATTTGAACGCCTGCCGTAGGGGTCCTGCTTTACAGGGGGGTTGGACTCGATGATCTCTAGAGGTCCCTTCCAGCCCCTACAATTCTGTGATTCTGTGGTTCTCCCCTTTAGCCCTGAGCTCTAACAGATGAGGTCTATTTCAGGGCAGCATCCATCACTCTGCTGTGACTGCTGTGGTCCCCGCACTGTGCCCACTCCTCAGGGATGCCCTGTCCCCTCCCAGGTCTGACCCACTCCAGTGTTACATCTGCACGGAGATCCCATGGCAGTGCCTCCAGGTACTTGCTCTCCTCCAGCTCTTTCACTCCCAGGTTACCCATATTCTCTGCAGACAGCGTGCATTACCTGAAAGAAGCAGCTTTTTCCTTCCTTTGATGATGTTATGCTGCTCAGTGTGTTTGTAAGGCCTAAAAAGAGTGGGACTGCAGCAGCATACCAATACAGATACGCCTCAAGAAACTGCACGACAAGATGCTAAACTGCTTCTGTTAGGAATGTCTCAGCTGGCATGATAAGTGTGGTGGGGCAGGTTAGAAATGAACACAGAAAGAGGCCCTTAATGGGCAAGTGCACTGTTTTGCTATAAGACTCAGTGGCTGCTAATGCGTTTTAGGGTAGATACAAGAAAGCTCCACTGGGGGCTATTTGATACAAAGCTGCTGCTGGCTTGGCAGCCTCTGACCCACCAGGCGTTAAGATTATTTAGGAGAAATATTTTGTGGATCTAGTGTTGAAGACAAGGTACTTAGCAGAACAGATTGTGATCTAAGCTGGTGAGACCCTTCTTGCAGTATTATGTGTCGATTTAAACGTGTGCACCCTTCTGTATATTGAGGTGAACTTGCTAGGACTTTCAGTAAATGCTAAGTTAGATCCATGCTGCGTGTCAAAAGAGGATTTCTCCCTTTCCTATAGGAAGTAGCTCCTACCAGCTGCAGTGCTCGAGGCAACAGCAAGCAGGCAGAATGCCTACAATTGCTTGAATTAGGCAGTGCTACTGAGTGATGGTGTGCCTTGGCTGTTAGGCAGCCTTTCAGGGAGCTTTCATTTCTTGTGCTGGAAGCTGCAGTATTTGTTTGCCATGCCCATGGTAACCGGCATCAACTCATTTTAGAAGCACTGCTTTTGCTTTACTTAAAAGAAAGGAGAGAAAAAATGGTTGTGGTGGCACATCTCCCTCTCTGACTTTGTTTTGATAGCAACCTCTCTCTAGCTGCAGGCTAATCTCAGCCATTTCCTATACTGGTGTTAAAAGAGCAGCGAGGACCTGACAGAAAGAGAATTGCACCTCTGGCGAGCAGCTCTGTAAGCCTGTCCCCTGCTGGCTCTCAGCTCAGAGTGATGTCCCCGTATTTTTGTCCCCATTACGTGGCTGTAACGTGGGTTTGCTGCAGAGGCTTTGCTCCACACAAGGACAGCTGCTCACCTCGGCTTTGTGCCATTTCTCTCCTGCCCTGCTTTCCCTTGACCGTGCTGGAATGACGGGAAGTTTCTGGAGCCGATTCATTGGGTTGTTTATAATGTGCTAAACAGAATTAATTGGCCTTGCAGTTGTTTCTCTTAGGTCTTCTGTGTGTTTTCTGACTGTGGAAGTTTATGGGTGGTTGTTGAGGATGGATGATCTTCCTTTTCTTTATCAGCCTTTTAGAAGGATACCGGCACCTTCCTGATATTAAGAGCTACTGGAGTGTGAAATGATTTCCCAGGAGAAGTGACAGAATACCTTAGCAACAGAGATATTTAAAAGATGACTGAATTTCAGACCAGAGGATAATTCTGCATTAGCAAGGAAATGAGTAAGTGATCTAAAATGAGTAATTCTTGCTCCTCTGCGATACATTGCATGGCACAGGGAGTTCTGCAAAACGTTCTGAAAAAAAAAAAAAGAAGCTACTTTTTTTCCTGGTGATTGCCAAACGCAAGTTTTAGGGACTAATACCTGCACAGCACCTTGGTTAGACTTCATTTGAGAAATATTGCTACCCAAGGATACATACAGAGATGTGAAAGTCCTTGTTCAGCCTGCCAGGTAACTATGAAACTACTGGCATTCAGTGAGCTACCCAGTAGTGGGAGCCATATAAGGGGGAAGTGCTGGGGTAATATGTGGGGCCAGCTGTAGAATGGGCTTTCCAAGCTTTTCTTTTTCTTTTCTTTTTTTTTTTAAAGGTAGTACCTGTGTTCCCTGCCTCTGGTCTCTCTGAAGGACCAGCCTTGGGGCAGTACTGCTTTCAGTGACACATGGCATCTAAATAAATACAAACTACACACCAGGTCAAAAATTTCAAGGCATCAAACCAAATAGTTCACTTCCATGAATAGTTCCAGTCCCAAATAGATCCCTTTTTTTTTTTTCCTGATTGTAAAGCACTGACTGGACAAATGTCATTCAGTGTGTGACTCCAGAGGTATGCTGAATGACAGAAAGCCAGGTGGGCTCCCTTTGCTTCAGAAATAAGCACAGTGAGACACTTGCTGTGAGAGCAAAAGAATAATCTGCTCAGTGGTGGCCACTACCCAGACCAGGCATGGCGTTATGGAGACACAGCAAATCAGCTTTGCAATGTGTTTTGTTGGTATATTCAGCCTTCTATCTATGCCAAGCTATAAAGCGTGGATCAGACCGGATCTGGGCTTGGTTCCAAACCTCCTCCAACTTCAGGGGAGCGTGGATTAATATCCAGCCCTGGGGCTTGGTTCTGCCTATGAATCAATCTACTGTAATTCCTTAGGAAAAGTCAGACCTGTGAATTATCCACAAAGTCACTGAAGAGAAGCCAAAGCTCTGTGCCTGAATATGTTTCCTTTACCTGCCCTGAGCAGCCAGTAAATAAATCCAGGTGGAGCCTTTTGGTAATTCTGGATTGCTAATGTGAGCATTTGCAGGAAGCAAATTAGCAGGAAGGTGCAAGTTTTCCCCAGCAGCCTTTGGTAGGGTTCTTGTACCCTAAAGCACAGTTCAAAGCAAGGCAGAGATAAAGCAGCGAGAGACTTGCCTGCGCTCTGGACTTGAGCCTCAGCACTCCCCATTACCAGGCCTTTGGATTAATGTGACAGCTTCCCTGCCTCTCTAGATGTGCCACCACATTGATAGTAAGTGCTACAGGGGATTGCCTACAGCTTGCACGTCCTGATGGTGAAAAGGCTTGAGGTCAAGTTTTCCAATAAGATATGAGCCGGAAACCATGCTTACACCAACAGAGAGTAATAAACAAGTGTAAAAAGGAGATGGCAATTAAGAAATGAGATACAGGGCAGATGAGGGATCAATAAAGTTGTTTTGTTTAGATTGAGGTCTCTTTCAGGCCTGTCTTCTGTGACCCCAAATATTCATCCTTTTCTACCTTCTTACTGTATTACTACTTGTTACATTAATGACAAATACGTCTCATTATTGCTGCTACCATCAGTAATAGCAGCAGTTTATCAGCAGTGTTTATTAAGTCAAATTCTGTGCCAACATAAATCTTTCCCTCCCAACACAATTTAAATGTCATCTAAGCTAGTAGTGCTGGAGACAGTTAGCTCTGCTGCAGCCTGTCAGGGTTTGCTAGGCATCCCAGACCTGCCAGCCTACCATCCTAAGCCTTTAGCAACAGCTTCCTTTTCCTTCTTGCCTGCTACTCTGCTTGCTTTTGGAAGCTGAAATGAATTTTGTTTTTCCAGCCAAGACCTATTGGCAATTCCCAACAGAGGTATTCCAAGTCCTGCTCTGAAGAACCGTGCTGGTCCCCCATTTTTTCTGTGAAGCACTGGGCAAATCACTGACGTGAGCAGCTCATGACCCTGTCCACAGGCAGAATGCAGCTGTTTGATATTTGATACTGCTTCCAACACAAATGTGTTAGTACCAAAAATAGCAGAATTCCTTACTTGATTTCTGTTTGTCCTCCTGCTTTTCGGGCAATTTGAACCAGCTCCTTCCCATACCTCTCTTCTGCTTGAGCTCTGTTAAAAGAAAAACTTTCTCAATTTCTCTTAGTGGTAGCAGCATCGTGTTTACAAAGCTCTTCTTGTAATTGCATCTGAGGTAGGAAATGTGAGAAATAGCATTTCCTTATTTCCTCTATCTTCATTTTCTCCATCTCTTCTATTCCAGTGCTAGCAGTTACCTCTAAAATATTTCGGTTGAGCTATTTCTGGAAGAAATGAGAGAAAACAAATGCTCATCTTCATGGCTTTGATGAGACTATGGATTCAGCCAGAAGATGATGCATGAAGGGAAATGTAATGAAGATGGTCAGGAACCTCTTTTGCAGAAGAAAGCTAAAATGTGATGGCTGACTTGGTGGCCAAAGTGAAGGCTGGGAGGGAAGGAAGAGTGGGTGCCAAAGGATCTCTTCAAAAAGAGGTTGTGAGTGAGTGGGAAGTGGGAGTAATAGGAAAGCACTGGGTACATAAGATGCCTTCTTGAGTAGCTGCAGTGGAGGCAGAGGGGGAAGTAGCTGTGCTGGTTATAAGGTGAGGCCCTTCAGTTTGGGATGGGGGTGGGACGACAGTGTGATGCAATGCCTCACCTAATGGGGAACTGTAACTCATGACTCAGGAAAGTGGTTCTGTTTCTATGGTTAATAAAGGAATAGAATGATTTCTTGACTGCTTTCCCCTCCCCCAGCTCCAGAAGAAGTTTCTCATCTCTTTGAAAAAAGATATATTTTTTTTTTCTCATAAAATGTTTTAAAACCTGTGTGTAAGGCCAAGGCAGAACTGGGTTTCCAGCCTTTTTGCCTTTTTGTAGCTGCTGAATACTGTCGAATGGTCAACACAGATAACAGCGTGGTTAGGATGATTATTATTTTACGTTTTGCTTAAGGTAAATCCAGTTCTCAGGAGTGATTTTGAAGCGTTCCATAGGCTTTTGAGCCTGAGACTAAGCACCTTGGAGTTATTTGTTATTTGTTTTAATAATATTCTATTTATTTAATAATAATAATTTAACAATATTTTATTTATTATGTTATTTGTGCAAAAAAAGGAATTGTGATGCAGGCATCACAAGTGAAAGTTGTGCAGTCCCACTGCTTTGTTCTCAGACCTGCCTTCCTGCTCAGCCCCTGAGCTTGGTAATTGCTACACACTGAGCTCAAGCAGTTTGCTTGGGGTGAGACTTCTGGTACTGCCACAGGGAAGCTGTTTGGGTGCATCTCTGTTTGAGAACATCTGACTGCACCTTTGCATGTCGGTCTGTGTGTGACACCTAGCTTGCAGCTAGCTGGACGTGTGGGCTGGTGCTTCTGGTGAAATCTCACATGCAGGTTTGCAGCTTTATATGCAGCATATTGAGGCAAATGAGAATGGCCAGCTCTTAAGCCAGTCCCAGCTTTTGCAAAACCATTGTGTCAAATCTTTCTCAGACCTCACCTCAGACTGTGCTAGCTTAGAGTCAGACAGGTCTGACAGGTTGCTGACATCTTTTCACTACTTGGTGCCATCTTTCCCACTTTCTGATGCTCTTGCATGCAGCTTTTGGGTTTCCCTGCAGCAACCAACAGCTGGAACGTGTTTTGTTTTAAATCTAGGGCTTTGTTATGAAATGTGACCTCTTTGTCAGTGCCCAAGCTCCTCAGCTCTCGGCTGGATGAGGCAGGGCTATTTGTGAACAAAGGTAACTGATCAGGGTGGGAAGCTGGAGTGTCCATACAGCCTGGGCAGAGGCGCCAGCACTCAGGGCAGCTGCTGCAGGGGCCCTTGTTGAAATTCTGGCACCAAACCCAAGAGACAGATAGAGGGCCTGTGTACACTCACTGCAGTGGTTTGGGGTGTACAAACGCTCACGAAAACACTTGTTCTTGCAGCGTTCAGATCTGCAAAATGACTCTAAATGTATTTTTTCTCCTCTGCGGAAAGTCTTTTGTTGCCTCTACCACAAAGCAGGAAGAACTTCGTCCTGCAACTCGCAGCAAAACCTCTAATACGTTTTGAACCATAGGCAAGCGTGGCATCAGATGTGTGCTGCAGTGCAGAGCTGCCTGAAGCCTGCAATGCAATTCTGATTTCTGTAAGTTATGAGTCACAAAGGAGCTATTTTAAGCAGATAAAGTGAAGCTACCAGCAAGCTGATGTGACTTCAGGACTCTGTGACATGTGGCAATAAAATATGCTTCCACTGGTGATCAAGAAAAGCAATTCAAATAGCTTTGGATTTTGATGGGAGACTCTTCACACTTGGAAATAATGAATTTTCAGTTTGACAGCTCACATCCCCGTGAAAGTTCCACTGCTTGAAAAGTAGCCTTTAGAAAAGCAACCTAAAACCAGAAAACTGGATGGGGGCAGCGTGGGAGGAAAAGGGAGGCTGTGGCAGGGGAAGGCAGAGCGATATTCATACAGAGGCAGGATCACCTGCTGAATATATAATTCATAGTGTGGGGGCTTCCTAGCAGGTCATACATGAGTTCTGTGCCTCACACTGCACATCGCTACTGTTGAAACTCAGCCACCTCAAAACAGAACCAAATCTACATCTTTTTTCTATGTCAGAATTACAAAAATGAGCGGCGAAGTTGGAGCAGCTGTGTAATATTTATTTTCTCACCCAGAGAAGTGTTAGCTGTGCACAGCTGTTGCTGAGGGGCTCCGAGGAGTGTGTAAGGATGGTGATAAAGCACACTACTGGTACTCAAATTCTGGTGAGGTGGGCAAATGATGCAGGATGTTGTGAGGAGCTGGGAAGGACTTTTGGTAGCATCTTGCAGAGCTTTATCTGTACTTGAAAAATGGCCCTTTTTTATAGTTACAGGAAGCTGAAACACAGCATGAGGCCACAGCACATTTAAAGAGAACGAAAAATGTACAAGTCATTAGTTTCCTGTTGAATGTGGAAACTTGGTAGTGCTTCTTGCTGTGGATTTGTGTTCTACTACAATATTACGGTCCAATAACTACCTGAGCCTTAATGAAGGTCTGGATTTTTGATCCTATCACCCCTCTCTTCTCTCCTTAAACTTTTGAGGTTTCTTTGGATTATCTACCTTCACAAATCATGTCAAAATGCTGGAAAATTATCCGTGGGAGAAAAGCTATGTTAATATATGCAGGTCTGCCTGCAGCAGGGGGTTTGGAGCTCGATGGTCCTTGAGGTCCCTTCCAACCCAAGCCATTTTGTGGCCAGATGACTTTATAATCCCTCTCCCAGCCCATCTCCATCATTCACCTTGTCTCTTCCCTCATAAGATATAACTGGCATAAAACTCTCATTTATTTTGTTTCATTTTCAGAACTCTATACTTGGAGCTGTCTAAACAGCCCTGAGGAGTACAGGCCCAGGAATGGATCACCACCTCAGTGGTTCATTTGACCACCTTTGGTCGCTCAGCAGCTGTGACCACTTTAGGATTCACCTCAGTTGGGCTTTTCTAGACGAACCAGTGCCATTACTGAATTCAGCAACAGCCTTACTATGTCTTTCGGGATGCACAGGGAGACAAAATTGTGTCTGTTCAAACTTTTTGCACCCAAACTTTCTCACCTTTGCTTAAGCAAATCCTCCACGTCTTTGCACATCCTCCTCCCATCCAGCAGTCGCTGTACGAGCACCTCGAAGCCAGTGTGTAAGGTGAACTCCTTGCACTGAGGACAGAAAGATGAAGAGATTAGATAGTTTGTGCACAAAGCTTACAGGTCTAGGAGACACTTACTGTCAGTCACAAGTCCTATTCCTGGAAAATCCAAGTGTACCTTTAGGTTTGCCCTGGGCAGCAGCAGCCAGAGCAGAGCTAAGGGCACTGTAAAATCTTTGTTTAAATCCAGATCATTTTATAATAATGAAGAAGTGAAGTGAGTCCCACATTTCGCTGTGCCAAAAAGCTGTCGTTTGGAGGAAGTCGTGCTGAGCATTGGGTGTGGGATTTTTGTGCAGTGGCTCCTCTTCCTCTGCGTCAGTCACCTCACCGCTGTGCCTCCTTAGCTGGTACAGAGGTGTTGGTTCTTTCCCTTCACAGTGTCTGATGGGTTGCTATGCTATGGCTTTGAGAGAAAAACAATGCTGATGACACGGCAGTGTTTGAGCTGTTGCTGAGCCGGCAAGCAGTCGACTGGCTGGACATCAGTCAGTGAGTTGTGAGCAATTGCTTGTGCATCACTTGTTCTGTGTGTATTATTATCATTTTGTGTGTACTATTATCATCACTATTATCCTTTTTTCCTCTTCCTTTTCTGTCTTATTAAATAGTTATTATCTCAACACACGAGTTCTACTTCAGGCTTTTTCCATTCTCTTCCCTATCCCCAGGGAGTGGAGGGTGAATGAGTGGCCATACAGTGCTGAGCTGCTTGCAGGGTAAACCAGCACCACCACAGGGCTCTCAGTAGGAGTGACGTGCTGTCTAGATGCAGGTGGCGAGGTGACAACCTTGGCATGTGCAGTGGGGAGAAAGGAAAGGAAGTAGGATGATGGTTCACGTGGCTCTACCAGCAAAGGGTCTGCTCTACAGAGCCAGGCAGAACAATAATGTAGATAACAGGTGATGGAGAGTGTGCAGCGGACCCACTCTTATCACTGTTGTAATAGTACTCAACTGATGATGGGATTACACATGCTCATCTGACACATATAATTACCCTTTATGAAACAGGATCTCAAAACCAAAACATCCGTTTCCCTCCTGTTTCAAAGGGCTAGTTACAGACATGGGCCCTGAGCAGCAACCTTGCGATGAAATACACGAAAGGAGGAAAGCAGAAAGGTTATTGCTAATACCCAGGCAATTTTATTTTTATTTTTTGAGAACTTCTCAAGGGCAGATGGTGTTGCTGCTGTAAAACCTCTCATTAATCACTCACTCTGCCTGGCAGAAACCACTCAGATGTGCCACAACAAGCTCGCAGCACAAAAATTTTGATTGCATATTTCCAGATGCAATGAGCTATATCCCGTGGCTGTGTGCACAGCTCCCCTGTCACAGAAATGCTGCCCGTGGGTTATTATACGGGTCTGTGTCACCCCAGCAGGCAGGCGTACTGCTACAAGCAACCAACAGAAAGTGAAAAGTGCTCTATCATGTTACTTTGCTGTTTCTGCACAACATATCTCTGTACAACAAATGCTAAAATCCACTGTCTACTTCTTTTAAACTGGTGCAGATGGTATAAAGAAAGACTAGCAAATGCTGCATATCAGTGAGCCACCAACAAATTCTCTAAATGGAGAATGCAATGCCTGTTCATTATTAGGCCCAAGCTGAGTCTCTCTTCCTCCCCCAGTCACCCACAGATGCAGCAGGGTGTCTGCTGGTCATTCGAAGGACCTGAGAAGACTACTAATGGACTTGATTCAGCCATTTGGACACCTCGTTCCAACCAAAAAAACACAAGGGGAAGAAGTCATGCCGTTTTAAAAACTGCACCAGGGTCCGCTCTGCCTTGGTGACCGAGTGAATGAATTTTGCAACGTGTCTAAGCAGAGAACCTCACTTCTGCATTAATAGGTCTTTTCAAAGCTGTGCTGCTGTGTCTGGCACAGCCATGCTTTCTTGTTGGAGCTCTGCACATGGGCCTGCCTCCAGGACACAAGCTGCTGGGTTTGTTCTGGTATTAAAGGGACAATTTTGTGCTGCTCACTACTGCTTAGGACCGATTCTGTCTTCCATCATTTGCCTTCCAGTCTCATTACTTCAAAGACCTCAGAAATGCAAAAGACAGACTTTGCCCATTATAAATACAGGAATGTTTTAGCCCTTTAAAAGAGAGATCTTTCTGTATGCATTAACACAAAATCTGCAATAGGAGAAAAGGTTCATGCAAGGAAAACTTGGACGTTCCCAGATCACAGGGTTCCTGCCAGGCAGGACACAGGAGCAATGTGCTCAGGGTTTGTTCTGCACATCCACATGCATGTGCATGAAGCACAAAGCAGCCAGTACCTTACCTGACAGCTCTGCTTCCTGCTTGCTGCCTGCAAGTATGATTTGAATATGTTGAAAACGTATCTGCTTTCTCGTACCCCAGGCTCAAATGCTATCAGATACCTCCAGCACAGCATTTCATTCTACAACAACAGCTGCTCCCAGACCATCCTTAATGTTTGATGCTGGTATCTGCAGCAAATAGATTGCATGAAATCAATCCTGACACCAGCTCTCAGAACCCTTCCTCCAGCTCTGCCGTTCCCGTTTCAGCACAGCCACCAGCCTCTTCTTCACCCTCTTCACACTCCTTATTCTCCTTCTGTGTCTGTTCAAAGTCCTGCTTTGTCTTTCTTCTCTGGTTTTTTAAGGATCTCCTAGCAATACAACTGACCTCACGTTTTCTTTGTCAAGACAGCAAGACTGTATCATGTTAGAACAACTCTTGAGCATTGATGAGCTGATTGGCCCTTATTCTATTTTCCTTTTACTGTTTTGTGTTATAATTAGTGTTTGTGTCAATTGATTTTTGTAGTGGCAGTTGAAGTTGCAGTGCTCAGCTGGTGCTTGGGCACCTCTCAGCTGGGACTATGTGATGGTTGTAAGAAATGATGAATAGTCAGAGGACATTTGGGTGGGTTTTAATATAAATTAGATATTCCTTTTTAGATAAGGATATGGTTAGATAAGGATATTCCTTATTAGATAAAGAATACATTCATTAAAGCTGTAAAAGTAAGAGTTTCACTCAGAGAGTGAACTGAAACAGGTTGCCCAAGGAGGCTGTGGATGCCCCATCCCTGCAGGCATTCAAGGCCAGGCTGGATGTGGCTCTGGGCAGCCTGGTCTGCTGGTTGGTGACCTGCACACAGCAGGGGGTTGGAACTGGATGAGCATGAGTGGTCCTTTTCAACCCAGGCCATTCTATGATGCTATGAAAACGTCAATTGTTCTGTAACTTAGAAGAGAGCAATTCAAATTGCCACCAGTAATTTGTTAACATTGCCAAGTAAGTAATTTACTCAAGCAAAGCACGTGCAACTGTGAAAGAGGATTTATTCATTGTCACTTTAATAAAAAGGATTAGTTAATCCATGCTGTCCAACAGACCTGTAATAACAAGTAAGAAGAGCATTTGACAAAGGGCTATCAGTGTCGCAGGCAGATTTATACTGCTCTGAGATTTTTCCATTAATCCTTCATGTGTACTTGGGTCTCTGCCCTGGAGCCCAGGGGTTTTGCTTCTCGTCAGGAGAATCACAGCTAAAGCAGAGGCAGCATTTCGTTGCTGTGCCTGTTCACAGAAGTTGCCTCCTGCCAGTAGTAGAGGTGATGCTTTTCCCTCAGAAATAGAGCAACATGGCTGAAAGCACCAACTTTATACTGCTGTTTACCCAGAATAGCTTTTCCTAGCATACTTGAGAGGAGGCAGGAAAGGCTGCAAACTGAAGCTGCCAGCAAGTGCACTAGGATTATACCTTCTTCTTATTTTTCCTGTGGCATAAAGACGCTGCTCCTTCATGTTAATGGTGTTAGCAAAACAACTGCGTGCACTGGGACTGCAGTTTTCTGCAGAAGTTTTCCCATAGGCAATCATGCAAGTAACCATTAGGAGTTAATTGTGGCAGAGAGTGGCTAGCTCTGAGCTATTTCTGCAGCCATTAGGGCTCTGGGAACTTTGGTAGTGAAGGCTACAAGTGGGACGCCTGATGGTGTCAATGCCCTGCCCAGGGCGAAGATGGCTGAGCAGCAGCATGGCTTGTCCTTCCTTCCTGCTGGCTAAAGGTGAATCACTTTGTGCCAAGTCTTAGGGCTCTAATTAGCTGAGCACTGGCTTTGCAGTGCCTCTCTTCTGAGCCCGGTGCTCAGAGGGTGTCTGCAAGGCTCTCTGATGAAAGTCATGAGAGTGCTATTGCAATAGTATCAAGTAGGAAAGACAAACAGTTTTACTGGTAACTAAAGCATGAGCTTGTGAATAGCTGTTAGAAGTTACTGGACTGAAGCAAAGTTGTCCATGTCTTCATGCAAAACGCTAGCTAAATCGTGCAACCTTATTTGTCCACCCGCTGTTATGCAGGAGGTGATGTGGATTATGTCACTGAAGTTTTGCAAAATAAGGGAGGGCAGGCAGGCTGAGGTTAGCAGTCTACCTTTTCTTTCGTTTCTTGTAAAACTACCCTTTGCACTATAGAAACAGGAGTTTGAGGGTTATAGAGTGCTCTCTTGGGACCTTTTGTTATCATTTCAGGAGTTGACATGGGTATCTTTTAAATGAGGCTTAGTTTGCAATTACACTACTGTCTTTGTTACCTAAGTCTGCAATGCAGGATTTTCCTGGGCCAGACAGCATAGATGCGTATCTTGAATGATGTCTTCAAAAATCAGAGAAGAAAAAAAACATTGCTTTTGTAGCATTCCAATATACCAAGTTGCTAGATTGCTATCTCACACTTCTCTGTCTAGCGGGGTAGGCTGGAGAACTTAAAATGAAGGCAGAGATTCTCATCAAATTTCAATTCTGCAGGAGCTACAGTGTAAAACAATAAATTGAAATTGATATTTCACAAACTCTGCAGCAGCATTGCACAAGTGGTGGCATTGAGCAACTGGTTGATTCTCAGTTGTGTTTTGCTCCCTATGACACTGTAGATTTTTGCAGAGAAGGAAATGGTTGTTCTGCAACAAGAGGAATTCGCTCCTCAGCTTCCTGTGCCCTCACCCTCCTCA